CAAGACAGGCTGCCATCAACGCACTCACCTTCACCTCGAACACGTGATACGAATCTCGACCCAGGCCTCGTAAGATGTACCGCGGGATGCACACTTGGATTTGGTTTCGTTTGTGAGAACTCACGGACGCAAGGAACCGGTTCACAGGGGTGGGGGGTGGGGTGATGACGGGCGGGGTCACTGAATCGGTCAGGCTTAAATTACTTCCATAGAATTCACTCTGAAGGAAAACAATAACACAATCAATGATGTTATCAACACTTGTGATTTAATACACCATAAACAAAATATTTCAAGTGATTTTTTTTCTTGTGGTACCTCGTCATCTCGACACATGTAGTTCATGACTTCTCCGTCTGCAAGTTCGTCTTCATTGTGACCGTTAGGAACCTAAAGATCGAACAAGATTATGATCACATCACAAAGTCACAAGTTTCTAATGTCCCAACAACAAAAATTGTCGAGAAATACAACACTCCTTACCACAAAAGAGTTATACGTTGACAGCTTCTCTTGAAGTAAAACCACTTCCCTGTTGAAAAACAAGATGATATTTCATACAACAAATGCAATTGCTTGATCTCAATGGAACGAGTTGGCACTGCGAATTTTCATGGTAGTCGAAAAACTATTGCAAGCATAAATTCGCTTATTAGCAAGCATTGCCACCCACTAAAATGCATAAAACCTTAGTTAAGACACAAACTTAAGAATAATTTACAATAGTAAAAGAAAAGAAAGAAAAAATTGCTCTCAAAAGGAAGTCTCGAGGTTAGCCTATGTAGAAGACTCCCTAAAAAAAAGTAGAAAAATGTTAAAATAAATAAATAAATAAATAAATAAATAAATAAATAAATAAATAAATAAATAAATAAATAAATAAATAAATAAATGAAGATTTGTGTGCAATCTAAACAGAAGGCAGGCACTATGCATTGCAGGTTCAATCAGAAAGTGATCTAACCCCCTTGAAACCTTGCCAAAATGTCTCTTCACTTTATTGAAGGCGATCACAACAGGATCACAACAGAATCACAACAATGTTAGTCAGGGTTTCGAAATAGGGCAGCATCCGCTTCCTCTTCAGATTCCACTGTGACCCCCACTCCCCTCTCCCTCATGATTAGTTTTGTTTTGACCGCACCTCTGACGTGATGAGCATTTACGTTTAACCAATCAGTATTGAGCGCAACAAGCCTCTAATTGAACTTCAATGCATAGTTTTCAGTCAATTTTGTTTATTTTTATTTTCAGTTATTGGGGTCTGTTGTTGAAGTATTGGACTGAGATTTGGTTGAAAGCTATTTTTTAGAAAAGAATCTCCACTTGGACGCGGACAGCAAGTGAAATGTTTATTTTTACCTTTCCGTTTCGTCAAGTCTTTCCCGCAACTCATCAATTTCATGCTGCGCTTTCTCTTTTAAATCCTCTATTTCCATTTCTTTTTCCCGAATAATTCCTTCAATCTCCTCCAGCTTTTCTCTCTCTAACACTTGACGTTCCTTGTCCAACTCGACCTTTTCCCTGTGGATCAGTGATTCAAGCTCTTCTTTCTGTCTTTCCAGATCTTGTTTTTCCTTGTCTAATTTTGTCAGTATTTCTGCTTTTTCCAGTCTCATCTCCTCGACCTCACGACTCTTGTGTTCCTCCACTTCTTTTAGCTTGACTTCCATTTCTGCTTTGATTCTAAAGAGAGATAAAAATTCGTGAGGGAGGCAACTCTTTAGGCTGTTGTTCGATCGCAAATTGACAGCTACGATGCCAAAAAATAAGCCCTTATCGTTTCAAGCTGTTCTGTTTTTGACAGCTTATGAGCGTTAATATAGGATAAAAAAATTCCTGACGTACTATCAAAAGCGGGAACTAACTTTACTTTTCATACCGAAATTGCTAAAATAGGATGTCCCTAAAAATAGTAACTTATGGAAGTTGACGTCACTACAAACGACGTGACGAGAACGTAGACATCACGTGACTCAAATCAGTAGAAGTCTCTAGGGATATCCATTTGCACATCCCCCTTGGGTAATTGGACTTGCACGTGATCAGATCGTGCGCCTTCAAGACGAGGTAATGTACGAACTTCTTAACCTCGCATCTACCAAAATGACGTTGAATGAAAATCGGAAATAAAATGCTAATAACGATTCCCCTCCATCAAAGGAAAAGAGTGCGCTTGTTTCTGCTCAACCCTTGATTTTTCCCAAAACAAAGCTTACTTCTTGGGGCAGTCCTTAAATCGCTTTTTCAGCAGTTCTGTTGAGACTGAAGTTTCCTCGCACAACTGTAAAATTCTGAAAGCAAAGACTCCCTGAAAGTAGCGAGCCCTAAAAAGGCTGCTAATTCCGAAAGTAACGAACGTCGTTACGTTCGGAATTTTATGATTCTTTACTGGGAAAACGTCCGCAATAATCATTTTAACACCTAAAAAGAAAACACCTGAGGAGGAAAGACATATTTTCATGCCCTTCAGTTACTAGCAAACCTTGACAACTCCTATATTCATTGAGCTTACCACAATCCTTGTAGTACCATTACAAACCTAACAATTCTACCTGGATACTGGTAAACACATTCAAAGATGCTCGAATTCCTTGGAAACGCTCAAAAATAACATTCACAAATTTGACCACTGGCTTAACTTGTACTCACCTTTGTTTCTCGTGAGCTAGTATCAAGCTGACGGTCGTCGGAGATGCGATCTCTCGTTCCGTAAGACTTCGGGAAAGCGTCGCCTCCTCTTCGATATCTCTCAAACTCTCTTCCATGGCTTCCCGAGTGGTTCGTTCCTCCTCTCTCTCATGCGCAAACCGACCTTGCATCTCGCGCAGATCTGCCTCGGCTTTCTCTTGTGCTTTTTCTGTTTCCTCCAGCACAAAACTCAGATTCTTCCTCAAGTTGAAAAGCTTTTCAGATTCCGCAGTCAGCTCCTCCTGCTTTTCAGAAACTTTCACCTTTCCTTCCACGTCGATTTCCTTCAAAGAGATTCTGTGCTCTCTCAAAAGATACATGTCGTCCTGTTTATTTTGCGATACAAGCTCTCCTTCTAAAACCTTTGAAAAGCGCAAAAGTCCGTCTTCTACTTTTGTAGAGAATTTACTCTGCCGTTGTTCCAGATCTGACAAGTTTCTTTTTGTTTCGATTAACAACATCTTCGCTTGGTTGTAATGTTCTTGTGCTTGCTTAAATTCCAATTCCTCAGTTTCAAGGTTTTGAGTCTTGAAGTCCTCTAAACTGTCTAAATTCAATCTTTCTAATTCAATCGCTTCTCTTTCTCTCTGTTTTCCCTCGTTAAAAACCGCCATTTCTCCTTCCATATCCTTCTCAAAATTCTCTGTCGCCTTTTGCTCATCTTCCTCGAGAGAAGCAAGTCTAGTTTTTTCTATTGTTACGATCGCAGACGTACGCTCTATGTCTTTTTCGATATGCGATCTTTCTTCTTCGGCGCATTTTTCAAGTCTTTGTGTCAGCTCATTAAGTTCTTTTACTTTCGAGTTCACTACCTCTCTCGTTTTCTCCATTTCATCTCGTTGTTGTTCGGCTTTCTGTTGGTAATCTCGTTTGTTTTGAGCAATATCATCCTCGGCTGTTCTTATCCTTATACTTAGTTTTTCTTCCATATCTCTTAGCCTCTGTTTCGCTTCTTCAATTTTTGCATTCTCCTCTTTTGTCCTCATTTCGAGCGTGTTCTGTTTTTCCGCTAAGTTGTCAGCGGCCATGTCCATGACAGCCTCGTAGCCATGTATTCGATCTTCGAGGTAAGTTCTTTCCTTTTCCAACACTTCTTTCTCTTCCAAAAACTCCAGCTCTAAAACTTCGCGACGTTTGCGAATGTCGTTGTTAGCAATATCAAGCGCTGCTTCTCTTCCAGTTCTTAACTGCTCCAGGTTGTTTTCTTGGCGTCGAATTTCTTCCAGCGCTCTGGATTTCTCCAGCTCAAATTCTTCCATTTCCAACATGGCTTCCCGCCTGGACTCTTCAAGTGCGTTGTAATTTTGTTCATATTCTCGTTGTTTTTGTTGTAATTCATCCCTTTGTAACTGTACTTTTTGAGATTCTGCTTTCCATTTCTGTTGCAACTCTTCGCGCTCCTTCATTACTTGTAATTTGGTTTTGTCTCTTTCCTCTTCTAAGTCCATTATAGTTTTCATGTTCTCGTTGAAACGCAGTAGTTCTTCTTCTTTCTGTTGTCTTATTCCTTTCTTCAAATCTGACAATTCCTTATCCGCTTTTCGATTCATTTTCTCGATGTCGTCTCGCAACTTATCGACCTGTTCTCGCTGCACTTTTAATTCTTTCTCCCGTGTTTCAATTTCCTTAGTTAGCTCAGCTTCTACTGTTGCCCTCTCTAGTTCCGCTTGTGTGTGTTTCTGGTTTAATTCTTCGACTTTACTCCTGAAAAAAAAACAAAAAAAAAACACGAAGACGGTTAGTGGAACCAGAGGCCAATTCATACTAGCGACGAATAAACTGTATGGACCAGCTTAGGTAAGCTATTGTAGTTCGTCTGGTAATGCTTCTCAGCATATCAACGGACTAAATTTAGAAACAGAGTTTTTACAGTCTCTGCACAAACCTTGCTTCTTCCACACTCTGTACTTCCATGGCATGAAGCCTCCTTTGGCGTTCCAACTCAGCTCTGAAAATATGGGGAAAAAATATCCGTGTCAGTAATTTTATAGCTAGCCCAAATAGAAGCCCGAGTAGTCATCAACGACTTATTTTCGTTGTAAGGTGATGCCTGCTTCAGCTCAATTGCTCCTTACAGCCAGAGCTCATCCTGGTTTCTGTAGCGTGAAGTGACCAGGAGTATTTCTACTCCCCTTTGGATGGGTCGTTAGTCCATCGCAGGGTTCCCCCCCCCCCCCTAGCATTAAATTCCACGGTACCCATTTATAGGCCTGGGTGGAGAGAGGCACTGTGAGAGTAAAGTGCCTTGCCCAAGAACACAACACAATGTCCCTTGGGAGCGGTCGCGAACTCGGACCGCTTGATTCGGAGTCCAGCTCGCTAACCATGAGGCCACCGCGCCTCTCACATTTCTCCTTAAAAATAGCATGAACTCCAACGAAAGATGGCACGTCAGCTTGTTGATGATATCACTCTTCGTTGCAAAGAACATACAAAGTCAAGTAGAGTTCAACCCCTCGCTCTCCATTGAACGTTCGACTTTTCGACTTTTCGACTTTTCCACTCTCGAAGAGAACGCATTACAGCTAAAGGGTATTGTATGATGACAAATAGATATTGTTTTTCTCCATAGTGCGCTAAAATTCTGTCCATTTAAAAAGCTCAAAACGACTTCTTACCTCGTTTCATTGAGTCGCTTGGATTCTTCCTGTATCTGTGATGCAAAGTCCGCTCTAAGAGAAAGAGACACCATTAAATTCCATGGTACCCATTTATACAGCTGGGTGGAGAGAGGCACTGTGAGAGTAAAGTGTTTTGTCCAAGAACACAACACAATGTCCCCGGCCAGGGCTCGAATCCGGGCCGCTCGATCCGGAGACGAGTGCACTAATCATCAGGCCACCGCGCCTCCACAGCTTCAAGAAAACGTCGACAAGAAATAAGAGTTATAATGAAACAACGCTGGATTATCAGTGGTTTTCTATTAAAGACGTAAAATCATAAAGCAAGGGAAACCAATGAACAAGGCAACAGCAAAAGAATAGTTCGAGGTAAGTTGGGTTATTTAGTAAAGGTAGATTCCCGTACAATGTTGATGCTGTTGTTGTTGTAATGTGACGCCAGCAAAAATGATTCCTGTATCGCTTGACTTGTTGAAATTTATAATTTTCATATCTTACCTTGCCTCTTCAATTCTCAAAGCTTCCAGTTGCTTCTGTTTCTCTAGTTCATTTCTACAAGACCATGCAAAAGGAAATGCAAATGTTTAAATATACCAGTCATTATGTCAACAAGTGCATAAACGTTACGATAACTTCCTCTTACCTTGCCTCCTCAAGTTGCCGACTCAGTGACTCTTCGCTAAATAGGTACGAAAAAATAAAATAAATATCAATCAATAAATACAAAGAAAAAGGAGAGAAATAGTCACTAAATCAAACAGAACTCTGCCACTTGAGAATTGATAAGTGGCAGGAAAAAGGAGGGAAAAAGATATGCTTGTTTTTTTTGCAGACATCTGCTCGAGGAACTTGAAAGACAATTGATTGCACGAATAGAGAGGTATGTGTCCACGTATGTTGATTTTACGTGACCGTGTGTTGTGCCAAGAAAACTGAGAGCTGTTCTATGGTGCAGTGCAGTGAAAGTACAGTGCAAAGAATGCATGTGGCAGTTGAACTAACAGTCTTGCCCAAAGTCCTGATGGCAACAACCTGAAACAAGGGACATTGGGTTGATCTAAAATATCCTTTTATGTGCGACACCGACAGACAAGTACCATCACAAAAGACAACAAAGTTACTTTTCTTCTGTAGAATCTTTTGAGAAATATAGAAACTCTTCTGCATGCCGAGCGTTGAGAATTACGAAACTTAAGGTATGAACAGACTCAAAGTCTCCAAAAGGCTGGAATGTTTCATTCAAGTCAACGATCGTCATTGATCTAATGAATCAAGTAACGTTAGAAAATTATGATCAAGAAATATTCCCTGGTTTTAGCTTGTCAAATACCTTTTCAAACCTCTTGTTATAGTGTCTAATTATCATAAAAGTTCTAACGCGAGCGAAGCTTCATAAAAAATCTACTAGAAAAATTTGCCGGATATGCTTCGAAATCAACTTTCTCTGTTCTATAACATACTTAATTGTCATTAATTGTTGTAGTGTTTTAGATAGCCATGAAAACCACAAAAGAATAAAGAAAAAGATAATGTTATCATGGATCTCCAAAAATATTGTAATCTAGTCCGTTCAACAATGGATGAAATAAATAGCTGACATAAATAGTTGCAGATGAAGCTGACCGCAACGAAACCTGGGTCCTAGTACCCAGGACTACTCACTCTGTGCCTCGTCTGAAAACCAGGTCAGTTTCACTGCGGAACTTAGTGGACCAGGCAAGTGACGATGTACCCAGTGAATTCTGTTAATCAAACAACAGAAATGATGTAATCAGAATAATGATATTCCCAAGAGCCACTAATTCATACTCAAAATATTCACAGGCAAAAGATCTACAGTACAGAAAAGCTCAGTTAGGCATTTTCTTACTACGAAATTTTTAACAAGTTTAGCATAGTCTCTTTGTCAAACTTTGTCACAAAGGACAATTAGATTTAGTGGCCGGTCAGTGGATAAGTAGGTCTCCACTGTAATTATAAGGAAACAAATCTTCACACTTGGTTAGAAAACAAATCAAATCTTACTAAAGTGGTTTGATTGTGTATTGTTGTATATTAAGGTTCTACATAAGTAATTTATTATAATATAATATCTTAGAAAGAGGGAGAAGGAACAGAAGGAGGAGGAAAAATGAGGGAGGAGAGAAAAAGTAACAGGAGGGAGGAGGAAGGAAAGGGGGGGGGAAGAGGTTGAGGACTAGTAGGCAGAAGAAGAGGAGGAGAAAAAGAAGGAGGAAGCAGGACGACAGAGGGAGGAAAGGAGGAATGGTAGGCAGAGGAAGAGAAGAAGGAGGAAAGAGGAAGGAAAACAAAGGTGGAGGGATGAAAAGGAGGAAGAAGAAAGAAAGGAGGAAGAGGAGGAAGAGGTGGAGAGGTTAAAAGGGGGGGGGGAGAGGAGTTTACATGAAGGAGGAAGGAGTAGGGAGGAAAAGAAGGAGCATAAGAATAGGAAGAGGAGGTGGCAGCAGGAGGAGGAGGGAAGTAGGAGAAGGAGGGTGGAAAAGAAGGGAGAAGGAGGGAAGGAGGAGGGAGGAAAAGGATCTCAAGGAGGAACCTGTGTCAATTAGCAACTTACCCCACACTCTTCCTGTAAACAGTTGATGTTGCCATTGATAACAAATCGTCAGTTAGGGAACAAGACAAGCAGATTACAAGTTAGAGTGATTAGCAAACTAACACAACATAATGCAGGTGGGTGGGGCTTTGGGGGCTGGCCAGCTGAGGAATGCAGCCTCTGTCTGCATCAGAGGATGAAGAATATGCTAAACTACAACAACTGAATGGTCAAAGTTAGAATTCAAAGCGACTTGCTGCGTGTTACAGATTAGTGCATTACCAGTTATGACAGGCATGTTAAAATAAATATAAAACTGAAATAACAGGAAAAAAATTGAAAGACCCTTAACATAAAAACAACAATTGTCTAACTATTCCTGATCCATTTTAAGAATGGATGGTATAAAAGAAGTTCAGATCTGCATATATTCTTAACATAATTAACACATTTTAACACTGCTCACCTTTCTCTTCTCTCTTAACTCTGCTGCTTCTCTTGGATGGTTAAAGCGGAAGACGTTTGTTGTTCCCAGAAGAATCACATCACCTACAAAAATAATTCAAAACAAAATGTAACTTAACTAGACTATTTTAAAACGTGGGTTCAAAAGTTCAGGTAATGTGTGGCATTTGTTCAAACAGGTGCATGAAAAGTTCACATAAAATCCAGATGTTTTGCCTTCTCTGTTCAATTCGCATAAAACTAAAGTAAAAGACATACAGGCAAGTTACATTGTCAAAAAGCAAAATCGAGACTGCAGAAGACGCGGTTTTGCGAGGGTGCCATGTGCTTTGCACTGGTCTCATGCTGCACCAATGGAAGCTCTCAAAACCAACAGTTCTATAGTCTACTATGCAAAATCCGCTTAACTCCTACTGAACAGCGATTGCAGAAAGACTCACTAATGACTCTAAGCCAATTTCACTCAAAGTGAATCCTCTTGCGCAGCTTTTATAGATTTCTGAAATATTCTGCTATTCTGTATCAGTTGTATCAAAGATAATAATATTTATTGATTTTGTTCCTTGCCCACACTGGGAATCTGTAGGAAGAATGGATTCCTCAAATCCTAACCTCAAAAAAGCATGCTAATATACTTTCGGCCCTCTTCTATAATGACAGTCAATGCCTTTGTTAATTGTTCATAGATTGAATGCTCTCACCTTGAAAAAGTCTTGTTGGTTTGGAAATGGCATTGCCATTTACAGCACATGTGGACTCTAAAGGGTTCAAGATCACGTGTCCTTTATTGTGCTCAAATATACAGTGATTCTGTTCTGTGTCAGGTCCACTGATCACTAAAACACAATTTACACAGAAAAGTTATTACTAACAATAATAGTCTTTAACTGTTCTTTCTGAAAAAAAGAAAAGGATTTGATCGGCTGTGAAGATCAAAATTACAATGTTCAATACTCAGGGTTCAATGCCATTGTTATAAAGAGTGACTTCCGTTCATATTGAGGATATTGTCTCAATCTTTTGCAAGAATGGTGCTTGTGCATTGGGGGGGCTGATGTACAACACCATACATAATAAATAGCAATGTTATGTAAGCAATGTAAGAGGGTATGTAAAAACTAAATATATATTTATAATACTGGCCCGGGCTGTTCGAAAGGTGGATAACGCTATTCACCAACTAAATCACTATCCAACACATAGGGTGGTTTGTTTTGTTAACACTTATCCACTGACTAGTGATTTATCTGGTGGACTGCATTATCCAGGTTTCGAACAAGTGGGGCCAGATCTATAAATTTGTCTGGCTACCAAAAATATTGTTATCAATCAAAATGAATACCTCTCAACATCAATGACATCACTTACAACATTCTCAACAAAATTCTTCAAAAATAGCGCAAATGGGTTCAGTTCAGTTGGGGTTTATATTCCTATGCTATTAATAGGTATTTTTACTATTTTGGGCGTGACTGCAATCAATATTGCTGGCAAACTATTCTGCATTTAATTTCGTCACTACAAAGTTGTAAATAAGCTGTCAAATGTCAACTTCAGATAGACTTGATATATTAAGACAGAAGACATTTATTTTCAAGAAATTTATGCATTTCAATTTCTTGTAGTGATTCAAAATTCTTCACTTTGTCAGGATATGCAGCTAATTTTAGAAGCTACATTTACATGTAAGTAAGAGAGAAGCTGCAAATTTTTATTTTCAAAATGTTAATTCTCCAGACTGACTGCTAGAGGTTTGTTCTGAGAATTTGTTAGCAAATCAAAACAATATTGTGTAGCTTACAATTGTCTTTACTCCCATCACACATCTGCTTAAAAATATACTATATTTATTGTTACTATTATTATATTAAAAAGATTAAAATCAAGATTAAATGTCGGGCAAAGTCTGTATTGAACTGACATTGGCAGAAGATATTCTAGATGGACATAAATTTGTTTATTAAGGGAATTAGGAATTACTTGCATTATAAGACTTAGCTGGCATAAATTGCTGTATAATAGCCATGTAGAACATTTCACTAGCAGCAATTAAGTTGACTTTGTGAAACTCTTTGATTTGGTGATTGGTAAGAGACCTATAAGTTAAATCACAATTGGCATTGCTTGAAGTTTGAATTATGAATTTAACATCTTTGAATAATCCTCTCGGGGTTTACAACGGAATGTCTGTTAATTAATTCACTTGTAAGAGTTTAAAACTGATCACAGAAAACGACAGAGATTTGTAACATGTCACTTGTCCACGCTACATGCACACTTTACTGTCCAATAACTTTACCATCAAGAACAATGAAGTCTGAAATTCCAAGAAGGAGTAAATTGAAATGTGTTCAGATATCCTGATTTACATTGTAATATTGCAACAAAATCACAAAAATAAACAGTACCAATGTCTTGTTTCTTTGAGTTTTCAGCAAGTCCAACTGTTGTAAATCCCTCCTACAAACAAACAAGTGCAAGGAAATCAGCTATGCCAGACCTCAAATTATAGAATTCATTTCAAAACGTCTCACACTGTATGATTATGCAACACGTTTGAACTGCGTGTCAAGACCTTATTGTAACAAGGAACAAATTCTTTATATTCTTTTGGATCCATCCAAGCATGAAATGCAAATCAACCCTAACAACTACTCAAACTCAGCATCTCTAAATCAAACGTTTCCCTCAGAATATTCAACAAAACGTGTGCTCATAATCCCTTTGTAACATCTACTTAATCTTTCATGTATTTAGGGAATTTACAAGCCTTAAACAGGCTTTGTACAGAGGATATAAACACTGAAGACTAAGGAATGCATAAATTAACACATGCAAAGTATTCAAACATACCATCCCATTGTTTGGAGACAAAAACTTTTGTACACTATATTAATTATGTTAAAAGGCTAAAACGTTTGTAAAATACATACCCTGTTAGCAGAGGTTTCTTTCCAGAAAGAAACCACTGCTAGCAGGGTATAAAAAACACTAATGTAAAACCTCTTTTAAAACTTATGTTCAACTGCATGCTCTCGATGAAACATGACAACCTTCATGACAAGTTGCAATCAAACTTGTAAGAACTCTGACACAATTTTTTCAAGACTGGTTCAAATGACAAACCCTTAGCTAATTAGGTGTCTCTTCTCAACTTATATCAAAAAAAACCTCAAATAGAATCATCAGTTACAACAGTAAGTCCTGAATGAATACAAAGCACATGTATACAGCCACCTTGAAACTTTATAGTAACAATAATAGACTACCAGTACACCTCCAAGATGAGAAAAACTCAATCACAAAAATAGCAGTTTTAGACAATGGTTTTCCCCCAACTCAGAAGATTAAACTCAGGGGGTAACCATTAAAATTTTACCCCCACTCACAGCCCCCTGTAGACGTATGATGGGAAAGGATTTGTACGCTGTTATGTAATGTCTTTAAAGCAAAATATTAATGGTGAATTGATCGGCAAGATTAATTTGCAAATGGAACCAAATGGATTTATTTTATGGACCACTTTGCCTTATATGTGTGCTCAAAAGGGGATCCATACCCATCCATGGAATGGCTTTTAATTTGCACTCCTTTCTGCATCCCTCTAAAAGTTCCAGTTTTATAACCATGAAAGCCCTTCCCACCTCCCCCCTCCAATTCCTTTAGAATTTCCAATGACCTTCCTTGGGTTGAGTATTGAGTACACATATCTTGTAGAACTGCACTGCAAATAAGAAAAAAGCAACCAGGGATTAAAAACTCTGCTAATTGAACTACCTTGAGATGATAGACCACTATGCCTGTGCTCAGGAGGTCATCATCCACCAAAACTAGATGAGGAAGCACAGAGTCCATCTTGATTCCAGCACCTTCTTGTTGAAGTTTCATTTCCCTTTCCTAGAAAAAAAGAAAATCAACCAATGTCTTAACACTTTCTTTGTAGCTGGGTATAGCCAAGTCAGCTATAACCATCTCATTATCCTACAAGTGCGAGTGGAATAACTGTTTTATTTAAAACGACCCCAAAATATGGAGAACTAAACTAAAAAAAAAAAGAAAAGAAAAACAGCCCCCCCCCCAAAACAAGCATACGCTTACCATATTTGTAGAGCACGGTATAATGGGTCACAACCCATGATTGCTAAAGCCAATGAAAACCCTTGAATTGCGTTATCCAATGATCCCACTTTTAATGTTGTTTATTATCAAAAAATTGATCATTGGATAATGCAATTTCATTGGGTTAGCCATCATGGCATATGAGCCATTATATCATACTCTACAAATAAGGTAAAACATAAACATGTGCAGTTTTTTGGGGCAATGTTATTTTTATTTTATTTTAATTTGTTTTCTATATCTTAGGGCCGTTTTTTTTAAAACTCATTATTCCAACTGTGCTTGTTGGATGTGAGATGATTACAGCCTTGTTGACTATCTAACATCTTATATCCAACACAATCGCTTGTGGAATAATTGTTAATTATTTACTTCTAATATTTTTTGAGTCTCTCTCCATCTGTCCTTCCAGCGGTCAGTCAGTTCTGTCACACGTGCTTCATTTTCAGACAGTTTCTTAGCAGCAGCTACTTCAGCTTCTCCTAACATTTCCTGAAGAAACAAAGTAGTATAAAACAGATATAAATAGATGACTTATTTTTAATGACATTATGAGTCACTTGTTCATAATGAGTCCGGCCCACCAGAGCAGTGTGTCCTACATGTACAAGGTTATGGTCTAAGAAAAATTACAAGGAGTTTAAAGTTTCCCAACCATGAGATCCTGGGTGCCCAGCACTTAAGCTTATATGAAAAATGCAAGTTTTTCCAGTCGTCCAAAGGCAAAAGTTAGTTGACTGTGGCACCCGGGCACTTCTAAAGCACAGCCCTGATATACGTAAATTATAGTTGAACATGTACTCTCTTAAATCTGATTTTAATTCAAACTCCCCATACAGAATATGCCAGTATTGACCAAAACTGTGCTTTAATATTATTTTTTTCAAACAAGGTTGTTGAATCACACATTTAAAAAGAGACTCATACAACTCATACTCGAACTACATGAGCAATTAATTCCAAATTATTTTATTTGCCAATGATAACTACTGACAGTAATTTTCTTACTGGGCTGATCATATTCTTCAGTCTATCTATTTCTGCACGCAGTTCTCTGATGAGCTTCACATTGGTATCCTAAAAATGCAAAGGAAAACAAACAATATTAACAGAAAGAATCATCAAGGGTCCAGATTTCTTATCGCAATCATATCACGTAGTAATTTATTAAGTCCATCATCAACTCTGACTGGGTTATTAGGCTAAGGCATGACTGATTTCTGTACATCAAAATGACTAGGGGATTCCCCTTAAGGTACTACAGTCAATCATCACAGGCAAAAACTCAGCTTCGTTTGTATTCTTGCCAGTATCCATTGATATACCTCTGACCAGTCTTCCACAAGGGTGATCAGGGCTCAAATCCGGCCCTCAGTGGACTACACATAAAAGCTCACTGTGCCTTTCTAACGTAAAGCTTGTTTATAGACGAAGTATCTCACCTCATTGATTGTGGGTTTGTTGATGATGTTCTTTGCACGGTTTGCATACCTCAGAGTACTCAGGGTCTCAGCGTAATTTACATCTGCTGGAGAGATGGCTGAAAGAAAATCACTGAATTTAATGTATATAAGAATCCACTGCCTGTCTGATTCACAGGCTTAATTTACTCAGCTTATAGAATGTACTACAAAAAATGCAATAAAATATTGTCTAATTTTGAGATCCTGATCTTAAATATAATAAATAGTAACCAAACATTTCTTACTAGCAATCATAATGGTCTTTGAATTTCCTCCAAGACTGTCCTTTAGAAGCCAGGTTAGAACCGAGTCTCTGTATGGGATGAACTTGTGATGATGATGATGAGCTGAACTCTGACCTGTTGAGGCATCAGCTGAAAAAAATACAAGATGAGGCCTATCAATACTATCATTATATCTGTCTACCCAGAATCATTAAAATCACAAGGAAGAAGCAGGGGGGTGGAGGCAAGGGAAAGTGGGAAGAAGGTAGGAGGTAAGAGGCCGTAGGCAAGCGACAGGTAGTACAGACAAGCAGGCAGGAGGCAGGAGTAAAAGCAGAGCTTGACACTAACTTTTTACACCACTTTCTACTTTAGAAAGTAGATTTCAAATTTTACTTTCCACCTCAAAATTTACTTTCCATAATGGAATGCAGCTTCCTAGCTGCTTACTCATTTCTTCACAGGGTCCTTCACAATACGCATCTGTCAGAAGCAGGGGGAGGAATCCAAAATGGCAGATATGATTACACCATACCAAACGTATTTATCATACCCAGACCTACTTGGTTGGCCGCTCTCTCGATGCTCCAATATGACGGATTGGTAAATGCTAGAATGGTGTAAATTGGTCCTTTTGAAGATGAAAAATCATTGTCGGATGGTTATTTTTATCATTTGATCATTTTTTATGCACACATTTAGAGTAAAAGTTACTTCCAAGCGTAGCCCAAAATTTACTTCCCAGCAAGTATTTTTGTTCATTTTCAAATTTTTCACTTTCCAAGAGGTAAATTTACTTTCCAGTGGAAAGCAGGCAAGTGTTAGTGTCGAGCCCTACAGGAGGTAGGAGGCAGAGGAAAGGGGATAGGAGGCAGGAGGCAGGAGGCAGGAGGCAGGAGGCAGGAGGCAGGAGGATCAAGGCGGCATGGTCAGTTTGTTAGGGCACTGGACTTGAAATGAGGTTCAAGTTCTGCCCTGACCACTGCCTGCATTTGTTTCATGGAAGACTTGAATGAGTTCATTTATTTAATATTCATATATTTTATAATTTGTTTATTATGGTAACTACCTAATGCTGAAATGACAGTCCCTAAAGTGACCAGAGACTTGTTGATGTTTGCTCCTTCCTTCAGTCTCTCACCAGTCAGCCCTGTGGCATCAGCCCGTTCACTGTGCAGAGACAAACACACGATTCATCAGCAATTCATGGGTTATTCTGTGCCTCATGATGCTCTTGTTCAATATGTTTTCCATAACATCCCTCAGCAATAAAAGAGATTAGAGATGCTTCCCTTTCTGCTCAAACTTCTCTTCTACAACCGTGTCTCCACTCAATGATTTGAAGCAATTACCAGGTAATAGTATTGACGGGTGAAAAAGCACATAATTGCACATTACCAAAAGACAAGAAAGTTATGATTATCATACTATTTAACATAAATAAAGTCAGTGTATTAACTAAATCCAACTGCCAGAAATTGAAAACTACAATAAACACATACCTTCCAGCTAAATCCACCAGATTTATTTTACTGACAGTCTCACAAGGCATATCATGATCAAACTTAGCCTGCAAAGATGAATAAATACATTAATACAGAAATAAGACATTGACAACTTTCAGAAAAGAAATTGCTTCTGTCATTAGGTACATTTTAGTGATTTGCCTGGTAGATGCTGTGCTCCATCCTGTTAACTAATGGTGTGTGACCATACTAAGAGATATGTGTTGTATGTTACACGCACCCAACTTTCCTGGCCGATGGCTAATCATATTGCTGATGAGGCATGTGCACGAAAGACAGTGTATTCTGGAGCACTTGATTATATGTTTGCTCCAAGATTAAGCAACAGGAATCCTTTAAGACATGACCTTGTTATGGACTACAAGTAGAAATGTCTACTGCACTATCTTCTACAGGAAATTTAAACATTTAAAATATCGAATACTAACCTGAGTGAAATTGATGGTAAATATTGCATGAGATCGGCTACTGGTATCGTTCATGCCAGTGCTGGCTGTCACCCTTGATAGGAAATAAGATTTATATAAATCAAAGATTAAGTAATGTAAATTAAATTTTCCTTTATTAATTATTTTTTCTGACTTATACCAATTTATTCTGACTAATTCAATCCTGCACACTCATCAGAGGCGAATGGTACATTTAAGCAATAGAGCACTTTTTCCGTGTTTACATAGCCTCATCAAAACACGAGGGAGGTTGGGAGATTTGGAGACAGTTATGCAAATCCAAGATGCAGTCGAGAGTTTGCATAACTTTTGAGAATTCTCCCAATCTCCCTCATGTTTAGATAAGGCTATGTAAACACAGAAAAAACACTCAATTGCTTTAAATTTATAAAATATTTCTCAAAAATATGCATAAAATGTCACAACCGTATTTATGTACTCTCATCGAAACATACCTATCAATCACTGAGCATGCGTAGTATCTCAGTTATTTTAAAAGATTCAGTATAATGTGAGTAAACATCGTACAGTTGCATCTTTCAAATCTCACCCTAAAACATGTAGCCTGTGTAGCAAGCGTTTCCGCGGGGTTTGGGAGCAAAGCAGGGAGCAAAGAAAGACTGTGGAACGGGATTTTCGGTGTTTTGCCCGAGTGGAAAAAGGGGTGAGAGCCAAAAAAGAAAGATGGGGGTGGGGGAGGCGAAGGAAGGAAACGCTTGCAGACAAACCCCTGCATTTTGAAAACCCCGTTCGCTGGCGAACAGGGCTCGTGATTGGCTGGGCTAGTTGAACATTATTGACATGTGTCGATCAAAGGCCTTAAACTTCTGAGAGTCAGAGCTTGATTGCAAAAAGGTTTACAGCAGTTAACAATCACACACGACCTTCTGCGCAAAAGCCTCTAGACAAAACCTAAGTTTTGGTGGCCGTCAATCATTTCCGCCTTCTTGCAGACTGTATGCAAAATTTACCAAAAAAAAAAACTTTGCAGTGGTCCACTCGTACAAATTATCATTTTACTCTCAGTATGCACGGCTAGCTCACTAAATACACTGGCATCAAATATTCCTTGAAATTTATATCTGAAGACAGGCAGGTTGCAATCCGGTTTCTCAACGGTCATTCGCATGCATGAATGACCCCAAGAGCAAGCAAATCTACATGCAAACAAATTATTTCTGCACATATTTGCCTTGGGGCTACAGACTGAACAAGACTTAAACGTCTTATAAACCTTATAATTTTGTATGGTAGTAAGTTATAAGTTTTATAGGATTAAGTATTGTTCAGTCCGTAGCCCCAAGAAAAATTTGTGCAGAAATAATTTGTTGTCAATTTGCTTGCTCTCAGGGTCATTTGTGCATGCAAATGGCTGTTGAAAACCCCGACAAATGTCTTCATTTATAGATTTCAAGGACTATTTAATGCCAATGTATTTAGTGAGCTAGCTGTACATACTGAAAGTAAAATGATGATTTTTATGAGTGGACCGCTGCAATGTTTCACTTTTTCAGGTAAATTTTGCATACAGTTGGCAAGGAGACGGAGATGATTGACGTCCACCAAAACTTAAATTTTGTCAAGACGTTTTTGCACTGAAGGTCTCGTGTGAGAGAAATCCTGTAGTGCAATGCCAATGCCATGGTATTTCGAAGCCTGCACATTTTTGCAGGAGCAAGTGCAACACAATTTGCAGCTGTACGTTCCTTTAATTTTAACATCACTTCTTGAATGCCACATGTGCCAAGGACAAGATAATAAACCACGGGACAGAAAATTTGCACTACTGTGTGGGAAAACCCAGTGATTTCGTTTGGCTTGTTACATAGCAACATGTTTTTGCAGGTACTCTGACATTTCATTAGAAGCATTTTTGTTGACAGCATTTAGAACCTCTGGGTACAATTCTGAATGATTTGTTATAGTGTTAGTTGCGGCTTGCCAGTTTTTGTCACATATTTTCCTTACCAACCATTTATCTTCTTGTTGCGGGTAATTCTTATGAGGACATTTCCAGAGTTGGTTTTATAGACAAGGCCGCCTAGTGGACGATTATCTACATTCAGATACTGGTCATTATTATCGTTATTTTCCTTTCAGATGTTTGCCTCTCTTGCCCAAATTCCAAAGTTTTCCTAGAAGACTTTCCGTTGTTTGTTTTTGTCACAGGCAATAACACTCGAACCGATTTGCGCATCTGACGTTTCCAGCAAATGCTTCTTTACTGGAGTTGACTTTGTAGGAGTTGACTTGCTAATTATACCTTGTATCGATTCCTGGAGGAATGAATACAGTGATCCAAGATTTTGAATCTTGCGAGCACAAGGATTACAAATACGACTTGAATACTCACATTTTAACTTTCTGGTAGATTTGTGTTTCACCCTTGCAGTCCTTCCTTTTAGACTGATTGAGTAGCGATATAGCTTGATTATAAATTACAAAATTTAACTTCGAAATAGAAAGCCTGCGTTGGTTGCTCGGATTCATCGGGACACCGTACGCTCATTGTTTCAGACATATTTTGACAGGTTAAAGTTTGTTTTCATTCAAAGTTCACTTCTGCTACGGAAGGCCGAAGATTTTATTGGTTAATTTATGACAACACGAAATCTCAGTGTGCGTACTCAGGCATGAAAGGTCAAGTGGGAAGTTTTCAACATCTTGGGGTTTGTCTGCAAGCGTTTCCTTCCTTCCTTCCCCTCCCCCTCCCCTCTCTTTTACTCGCTCCATTTTTCACGCTGTAGTTATTTGCTCCTGAACCACACAGAAACACTTGCTATGCAGGCTATAAAACATGTGTCACCATAAAATGCTACAGGCTCAAACAGTGGATCTCAAACTTGACAGAAAGCCCTTCTGGCCAATCTTTTTTTCTGTCTTATTCCATACCTGTGTGTGTTTCCCTGTTCCATTAAATGTTCTATTGCTGCATAGTCTGAGACAAGATGCCTTGTAAGATCTGAAGCACAAAATATCAAATAGAAACATTTCTTAAATATCATAAAATAGTTTGATTTAATAATTTCAATCTGATGATTGAGGACTTTTAGTCAGGAAAGCCATAACACAGTAATTCTCAGGATGTCAGTGTCATGGTGCAAAAAAGGATGCCTATTCAAGGCTGTAGTCTAAGAAGAATTACAAGGAGCCCAAAGGTTCCTAACCATGAAATTTTGGGTGTCCCGCACTTAAGCTTATAAGCAAAAAGTACATTTTTCCAGTTGCCCAAAGGCAAAAGTTAGTGACACCTGCCTCTAAATATCATTGCGAGCCTGAGAAGGCATAAGTGCAAGAAGAGAGACACCATTCTCTTTATTCAGTTCCATTAACAGAGGAATATCTTCATAATAACATTTGAAATAAAATCACTTACCTTGTACATAGGGGCCTTCCTTGGGGTGTTCCCTGACCTTGAGTGAATGCACAGGCCTTCCCTTCACAGGTGGCCTTAGGAGGTCCCTCACACGTTCATTATAGATCTCAAGAAAGCTGACTTCAGTTCTGTATGAAGGTCCGTTGTCGTCACTGTTACGCATGCCAGTGAATAAGCCTTCGCATATACGTGGTATAAGCCCTTGGTTATCAGGAGACCCCATCATGCTGTAGGTTTTGCCTGAACCAGTCTGTCCATAAGCAAAGATGCAGGCATTGTAGCCTTCAAATGCAGCCTTGAGGACGTCTGTACCAAGGTCTTTGAACACCTGGGATAGGGATTAAAACATAACTCTCATTATTATACAAATAATTCATAGTAGGTAAATGCTAGTTATGCAATGCTTTTGAGGGGTATACTATAGAATATCCCAAATGAAAGTGTTGTATAACTATTTTGATTATAAATGTACCATGCCATGTGGAAAGTATAGTGGACAACACAATCGATGCAGCACACAATGGAAGGTTGAGTGTAATACCGTTGAGTACATATACGGGCCTATTTGCTGCGAGCTACCATAAAATCAACTGTGCTTGCTGTAATATTACTATTTTTCTCTTTTCATTTTGTTTAGTTTTTCCTATGTATATTGTGTTGGTAAATTAATAAATAATAATAATAATAATAATAATAATATAATAATAAATAAAATAAACTGAAGTGCCTTGGAGTATTTCTACTCTCCCTGGACAGGATGCTAGTTCGTGGCAGGGTCAAGGCAGAATTATACTACCTGGTACCATTTGTATGCATGCATGGATGTTGGAAAGAATAAATGAACAAGGACCCCTTGATTCGGAGTCCAGTGCACCAACCATCAGGCTACCTGGCATTTTTGGTATGGGTTATGCTTTGGTTTGTGGCATAGTACATGTCATAATTGGTTCAACCATTCACAGAGTGCCTAAAATGTCAATAAATCATAATTTGGAGTCACACCTGGTTTCTATATTATAAAATTTAATTTGCACAATATTGTAAATGGGAATATAAAATTGTTAAAATTTAAACACAACTTAAAAATCAAAGGAGACCTGTGGTCAAACTCGTGGATTAAGTAATCTAGAGATGAAACATGTTGACGAACTTGTAATTATTGGTGTATTTTTAAAGGCTGTTAAAACAAGCGGGGTTCGTACCACGCAAGGTCACACTTAAATCAGAAAGCGTAGGCTTTTTTCGTTGGCTTTCGTTGCACACATACTACAGAATAGCTAGGGTGGCAAAATTGCAGCTGAACATGAAGTGGTAAAGGCTAAGGGTTCTTGGGTCACACAGGACACTCCTGCCAAAAAAAATTAATAGACTACTCCCTCCCGCCCCCCCCNTCTCACCCTTTGTTTTTATTTCAATGCATATTTTTATTTTAAAAACTCACGAGTCATAAAGACAGTGATTTCTACTACAATTGTCTTTATCACATTATTGTGTTTTCTATTGAAAATGGGACAAAAAAGGGACTAATTCATTTTTGTTTTCACCAATAAATTATTTTGAATTGCAAATTACCAAACTCCGAAAAAAAAACCCCCAAAATCACAGGTATTTCTTAAATCGAAAATACAACGACATCAACCGGAAATTTTGCACTTAAGTTTCCATAACCTTGGCCAGACCTGAGACAAACTCAAAGTGACCAATTTGCATGATAAAAATGTTTTGTCTGAACGAGAATCGAAAATTGCTTGTTAATCCAAGTGCACCATTTCCTTGAAACGTGATATCGTTAACTGAGTGCGCGTTTGGATTAAGCTGGTGGCTTGGAAATTGACATGTTTGAACCATCAATCTGGTCAAAATCTCAAATATCAGTGTGTAAACGAATACGCATGCGATCACACGTTCGATTCAGGAATAAGACGATGTAAAGCAATATTATGTAAATCTCACCCGCTCTTGTGAAGCGTAGTGCCGACTCCTCTCTTCCACAGACCAGTAGGAAAAATCGAACGAAAAATCCTTCACACGATTGCGTCTTTCTCCCTCGCCAGTCAATGAACTAGCCTGCAATTCAAATACCGAGTGGACTTCAGCCGGTGTAGTAAGCTTACGTGTAACAAGCCAGCACTGTCATGTTTTCACACTCGCAGACTCCACATGATACCAGTTTCAGTAAGTTACAACATGCCTTAAGTATAACAACAAAAGAATATTTGTGATTTTACATGTGTACCTTGATGTTTACAATCCTAGTTTTCTTGCCTTCCATCTCGATTATTGCCTGGGCTCCCATGACTTTTTCCCTGAGTGTTCAAACGCCGTGACATGAAAATAACGCCAACAGACCAAAGAGAAGGAACTCACAAAAACAAACTTCACGATGTCAAAATAAATCACACAGTACCTTTGGTTGAAGGGTCTCACTCTCACAGCCACCTTCACAGAAGCCATTGTATTCTTCAACAATTCTAGAACGAACCGAAAATACTGCTGCCTTCAAACAGGCTTGAGCGACAATGCGACTGACTACTCTAAAGACTTTGCACAGGGCAAACTGTAAAGGTAGCCAGAAGTTAGAGATCTTTGCGGTCGGAGAAAGCTCGAAATGCGTACAAATTTTAGGCCATCCATTTCACTGTAATGTAACATAGTCTCTTGACGCGACTAAGCCATTCCTTGCCGCAGACAATTCGTAAATGCAAAACTGAAATGATCTGAAATGCTCGGAAAGAACGATCTGAATAAAATTACCCTGTCGCGACAGCGAGGCTGTAGGTCGGAGATCACGTGAGAATGTGCCGCCTCTTGGCTGATCGTTTGTTTACTTCCGGTAAAACAGACGGACACGCAATCTTGGTTGTTTTGTTTTTGATTAATTAATCTTCAAGACCAGGGAGCGCTTGTTTACTGCGTTTTATATGCCTTAAAATCGTGCGTGATAAAAGCCGAGTTTATGACTCGGAAACTTATGCAAAATATTGATAATGACTTCGATTAAGGCAAGCATTCGGGCGTGAAAGGGTAATTGGTGTGGGTGAAAATTTTAATAACGTGGGTCATTTACGCATAAGTTTCCTTGATATCATGATTAAACTCGGCCTTAGAAAACGAAAATAGAATATAACCTTTGACAAGATATTCTGTAAAAATATTAAGAAGTTTTTCACTATGAGGTACAAGTAGTAGCGTGCGGTAACGTTCGATAACAGCTTATTTCAAAGAACTGAAACTTTTCTGCGGTTCCTTTCGCCCACGAGGCCTCTTCTAAATCATGCGTAGCCTTACTTGAGACGTGCTTATAGATCTGCCCTTTCTTATTTATGATAAAGCATGGGTCGCTTTTTAATGACTGAAGCTAAAATTAGCTCTTTTCTTTGAAGTAGCCCCAAAATCAAAAGAACATTAGACACTTGGCTCGATAAAGATTTCGAATTTATTAATCTATTTCACATTCCATAAGAACTATCAACATGAAAAAAGACAAAATGAACAAATGAAAATGAAATATTTTTCACATTGTCTCGCTACGAATTTTCGTCTGGTTATCTAACCCTAATTACACAACTTTCATTTACATTGTTCGAATTGAACTGAGTTGGAACTTCTCGTTTGGAAATCTTTTGGAAATATACAGGACGCAAACTTCAAACTTCATATATCGATGGTGCCTGACCATAACCGTAAACAGACTAACCTGAGTGTTATTCATATTAACGTCATTGCAGTTGACAAAATGTTGCAAATTTCACACAATCTTTGAGAAGGGAGAGGAAAGGAGTGGGAAAAGGGGCGTAGATTCCTTTTTGAACAATTCGCTCGGAGAGTAGAGGAGCCAAAGTCAGAGATACCTTATTATAGGAAATTACCGATGCACTTTATTAGTCCACGAAGAGTCTTGTAGATGAAAAAGAAGGGTGCTGTAAAATACACTTTTTTATATACGAATATATTTTATAAGAATATCGAGACTAAAATTTGCGAAATTTCGGGAACGTTCTGCGTGTTGAAACTTTGTAAACACAATACAATTATACGATTTTAGGTCTTTTTAACTAAATCGTATAAAATTGCCGTTTCTTTCTCTAAACGGCATAACTAGCCAAAAAAAAATGGAAACACAAAAACAGCACTAGCCGTGTGTTCGACGTTAAATACATTTCTGCAAGAAGTTATAGGCCAATTATGTGTGTCATATTAGGCTTTACATGCTAAGATCTAAGAATATTCACAACATTATATTCAGCCTAAAGTCGGGAGAAAGAATATGAATATTCAGCTTCAGCCGGAAAAAAAAAACAATATTCTTATAAAAGGAGTGTACTATACATGATTCAACAGAAAAACAAAATCAGTATATTTTTGAAATATTGCCGGTTATCATGTGACGTTGTCACGGTCCGAAATTATAACTTACCTACCCTTCTGAGGTTTTAGTTTCGTGACGTATAAGACTGTCTAAGAACTTGACGTTTCGCGAAGTTGTAGCACGGCAGGGTTCCTCTATTTGTAATAGAGCACGTTTGAAAACAGGTAGCCCAAACTCACGTTTCGAGTGGTCCGTAGGTTATCGGTGTTGCGTACGTAACGCTAAGGTTGACCGTTGAAAATTATGAGACTTTGCATAAGACTGCGGCCTTATTAGCTAAGGAATTTCAGAGTACCCCACATCCAGTTAATTTTTGGCCTAAATATCTAGCGTATCCCGTTAATTTCAGTTGCAAAAATAACGATTTTCCCACTCGGTAGTCCGTTTTATTAATTTTCCCTCCAAATATCCCGCATTCCGTTACAATTTTTACCCAAATATCGATCCCGTATCCCGAGAATCGGGATTTGTTATCACTGGGTCAGTTTTGCCGTATTTCACCTTAAAATTTAGTAAAGGTCTAAAATAAACTTAATTTTTCCATTTGACGTATCCTTTTGCCGTTAGGGGGATTTTAGACAATTTTTTTCGATTCTTTTCCCCTTCCTATTAAAGACGGAGGTCCGTCTCAGGAAAAGTCACGTAAAACGCCATTACTAGACGGGAGAATGGCAAGTCTCTCAAGTTATGGTTAAAGATGGCACGGAAAATAATTTATGTATTATGTTGTTTTCCTGATGCTGTCACATTTATTCAAATAACAACGTCAAATCATCAGCTAATAATACATATTTTTAATTTACCTGAGTGGATAGCCTGAGGCAAAAGCAGAGTTGTGATGTCTACAATCTTCAAGGGAATAAATTGAAAAAACAAAACCACCCCTCACCCCAAATCAATGATGAACTTTAACCAAATGTTGCAGAGATGATTCCTTATGCTTATTATGTTTCGTTTTTGGAAACTGAAAAACTTATGTACGCTGTTGTAGATTTTGATGTCTAACTTAGTCTAAATTTCGGTCAAAATATATGGTAGGCCGCCAGTGCGGAGGGGCACGGTAGGGTCAAGGGGTAGTAGGGGAATTAGCAGCACACCGCCGGCTTGCCAGATTCTCAAGAAATATCCCTCCTTTCGACATGTTCGAGGGGGCCGCTGGATTCGCTGGATGACCATTTGTGCCAATTAGTGCCCAGTTGGCTGCCTCAGAAATTAAATTGAGGGAATCTGGGAACCAATGACATCAAAAGCGGTCAGTAAAGTGTGCGCAGGCTCGCGAGTGGGAGAATCGAAGAAAAAGAGTGTTAGAATGATTCCGAATAAAATGTACACTTTGGAAGCTTTGATTTGGCCATCATACCCTTTAAAATGACCTAGAGGAAGGAACTAACGTGACTCAACATGGCTTCGGTCAAGGTAGCAGTTAGAGTGAGGCCCCTTAATAAAAGGTAAGGAAATATATCGATGCGAAGGAAGTTTAATTTTTGCCGTTCATTAAAACACCGGTATATAAAATTCCCAATGATCGCCAGTGTAAATATCCGTTAAAATGTCCTCTTTTAATTTCGTAAGGGAACGTGATATGGCGGCGAAAGTTTGCATCCATATGGAAGGCAAGAAAACTACAATCTCCAATCCTGCCGTAAGTGGAATTTTTATATTTTTTCTTGGTTTACGCAGGCTGTTTACGGCTAGTTGTTGTTGCTCCAATTTGGTGCTGAAATTTAACTTGCGTTTCAACTTTGCTTTCAGGGCGAAGATAAGGATTTTTCATACGATTTTTCCTACTGGTCTGCCGATAGTTCAGACCGACATTTTGCCTCACAAGAGCAGGTAAATCTCTTAAAATAACTACACTTACGTAAAATTTACATTTAAACCCAGCCGAAGGCAATGTTCGTGCTTAGTGATTTCGAGAATTTCAAACGTCATTTTGCATGTATAATGAAGAAACATTGTATTGTCACTCGCGTAATTTAGATAGCAGTGATACATATACAGTCATCGCGTTTTTAAAAGGATTTTTAAAAGTAATCTGTGGGTTCGCATTTACAATATTTTATTTTTACCCTAGCTTGTGAAGACGGTGTGTTGCCCCATCATATGGTTCTGTAATTTTGATTTGTCTAAATTTTTAGATATTCGCCTGTTTTGCAAGTCAAATAACAAAGTAAAAATAAGGGTATAACCTTTTTATAACAGTTCTTTGGTGATGTGTGTTGTTTCAATCTTTTAGAAAAGCTGCAGCTACAAGAAAATAACAAAATAATAATAATAAAATTGATAACGCTATTTTCCTGATGAATCAAAATTGAAAACCTTAGCTAGGAGGGGGATCAGATTATAGTGGCTGTGAAATTGTATTTGCATGCATTTATGCTCTGAAAGTACACATCTCCTATCAAAGTGTTTTCTTTGGACAATGCAACAAAGAAGATTTATTTTTGATCATTGTATAAAAACTGCAATCGTGAAAGTAGAAACAAGTTTTGATTTCAACTTTATGAGTATTGTCTCACATAAAATGTGTGTGTTGACATCAACAAATCAGGAGAATGCACACTGTAAATAAATATGATCATCAATATTTTATCTGGTTAACCATCTTTCTAATTAGGAAGAGGTTCAGACTGCTATGATTGAATCACACAAAACCCACTTAAAAATGGCACTTAGAATTAGATTATGTTGTGCTTTTAATGAATGGATCGTTTAGAATTAGCTTAAAAAATTCTGCTTTGTGAAATTGACTCTCTATTGTCCAGATGAAAATTTGTTCAGATTTAACCAAATAATTTATTCTCAGTCCACATTTTAAATATTATTTACTTTCACAAACCTGGTTAAATTTATAATATATTTAGTTCTCAGAATTTTCTCAATGGTTTGAGAATCATCAGCATTTTGCCCCAGGGGATAGTGGGAGCAACTAAGCTTAAGGATTTTAAATATTATTTTTGACTAATCATTTCAATCTAAAATAAATACAGATATACACAATGACGTGAATGTACATAATGTACAAACAATAAAAATGAGATCATGCCTGTGCACATTTGAAGTATGAATCAATAAGTTGGTAAGATGTGAAAATGTAACTAAATAAAAATGAAGTCAGTTTATCTAAATATTGTATAGTAAGTAATTTCTTGGAGATTTTTAGTTATCTTTGCAGTTTGTAGGACCTTTGTGTTTTATTATGCTCTGTTTTGAGCCTTGTCAAATGCAATTTGGTGATTCATCTCTGAGTCAGTTTTGTCTGATGAGGTGTGGATCAATACATTTCATTTGAAAATGGAGTCTTATTTACATCTACATGAAAACAAATCTGTGACTGTAAAGCTGATTTTTATGTACGAAAGGTTTTTCACCAGACTGCCTGTGGGCTGAGCTCGAAGTGTTTACCATCTCAAACAAAGTCGTCAGATTTATTTAACAATCATGTACTAATGTCTTTACTTCTGCCTCTTCACTTCAATTTATAAACAGTGCAAATCACACACACCAAAAATACACTTGCTGGGAAACTACACGTGATGTATACATGTAGCAGGATACTTGAAAAAAAAAGAAAGAAACAGTGGGTTTTTTCACACCATTGTTTTCAAAACGTAGGGGGAATACTCAGAATATTCAAGGTGACATTTCTTATTAACAGTATGTTTATCTTGTACCTTTCAAAGTTTCTTTATTAGCATAGCCACCATCTGCATTGACAAGAAGATCCTTGTGCACTAATTCTGAATGAAGATCTCTATGGTTTGAGAGATACATGTTTTAGGGTTGTCAAAAGTAGCCTAGTTGTGGCCGGTGAAAATTCCTATGTACTTCGTAATTTTGGCCAGCTACTCTGCTAGGGTATTTGCCTAATTCTTTATACAGAGGTGGCAAAATCAACCAGATAATGCAACGTTGAACCTGCCTACTTAAAACTCTGTGACAATGGTCCTATACGTTCATGTCTAATTTTAAACTATTTTTTTGAAATATAATTTAGTAACTATTTATTTAAACATAACAAAACATCAAACATTAAATTATTTTGTTTGTGCTTCCTTGATAGGTTTTTGAGGACTTGGGAACTGACGTTATCCGGTCAGCATTTGAAGGTTACAATGCATGTATATTTGCTTATGGTCAGACTGGTGCGGGCAAGTCATACAGTATGATGGGGCAAGACGTAAGAAGCCATTATTGTTGAACTCTTTTGGAAATTTGTCAATGGCCTTTAGATTCTATGTGGAAAATCCCCTGATTTGTTCTTTGGTCCTACTTTAAACATGTATGCATGTACTGTACATAGACAAGCTCTATTTTACCCACCAGGAGTAGGTGGTTAATAACAGATGGGACTTACCCCCCCTCCGTCCCCGTAATTGAAATTATGATAATGAACTGGTGTGTATTAAAATTAGGAGGGGGAGACTATGAGAAAGAGGGGGGTNAACCCCTTAAATTCCACTATTTAATCAGTGTGACATTTGCCCATTTTCTGTCCTGCATGGGGGTTCATGGCCGGGTCGCTAAGATTTGCCGGCTGCCATCAGTGAAAGCTTGTGGATTGGATATTTCAGGCACCCAAGCTCCATTTAGTCAAGTAGTTGTTAATAGTGTAAAAGCAGACGTTTACTGTAAGGTTTGTTCATGTTACAGGACTGTTGCCTCCACCAACATGAATGATGTGAGCAGTAGATCACATGCAATATTCACCATTTTATTTACTCAGGTTGGTAAACAAACTTGTCTGACTATTAAGTCATAATACATTTGAATCTCACGTATAAGTGACTACCCAAAATGTCAGGCCTAGGTGGTCACTTACAGGAGGTGGTCGCTTATGAGAGCTGAGACCATATTGGGCCAAAAGATTGCCTCATTAGCAATAAGGTAACTACATGTACAGAGACTTACCCTATGTTTTATTCACATGAAAAGCCAATTTCAAAAAAAAATTATCCAGCACTTTGCATTGAGAAATTTCTGTTTCTTGTACTACCCAGGAATGCGATAATGTTACATCACCTTATTATCCAATTTTCACTCTATTATCTGTTGAGTGGTTGCTTACAGGAGGTTAAAAACAAAAGAACATTTCAAACGTTTAGCTCTCAAAGTGGTTGCGGTCGCCTGTATGAGAGGTGGTTGCTTTCAAGAGGCTCCAAATAAAGTGATTTGGCTTGGAAACTTTTGGTATTCTGGAAAACTGGTCGCTGAGGGGAGGTGGTTACTTACGAGAGGTGGTCGCAACTGGAAGTTGGACCATATATACAGTCATGTACATGTAGGTGACAATGCACAGGAACATGCCTACCCAGAGAGAAACAACCGATCATTATTTTACATTTCGGAGACAACAGCCTTAGTAAACAGACCTTGCCATGTATTCAGTTCTTCCCTAGCCAGAGAGCCATCTGAGGTTCAATCTGGAAATTCCATAGGGGTCAATACGTGTAGCCCTACAAGGCTCCATAATTTTATAGTGTCTGTGACTGATTAATGTTCAGTTTTAAAATTCTGTGAAAACTAAGTTCAGGAAGGCACAATATTTCCTGAGCAGGGGATTAACTGTGTTAAGTGGGACATTTACTCTTGTGATAGAAAGAAATATCAGTTCATGTAAATTTAGCATGTGAATTTTTGATGTTTGGTTATATTGCAGGCAAAGTTTTACACAGATATGCCAAGTGAAACTGTCAGTAAAATCCACTTAGTTGATTTAGCAGGAAGGTAAGAAGACCGCTCGCTACTTTTTTAGCTATTCTCTGTCATAGATTGAGCAGAAAAGTTGGCGAGTTTCTGTGGGGGACAAAAATAGGGGTAAGTGTGAAAAAGTCTTTGGCCCTTCTGCTAACATCTTAGTTTATTCCCACAGTGAGAGAGCAAACTCAACTGGTGCTACAGGAAGCAGGTTGAAAGAAGGAGCAAACATAAACAAATCTCTTGTCACATTGGGAACAGTTATTTCAGCGTTAGGTAAAAATGATTTAATAATCCTCATTACAACTTCTAACTTAAAATAAATGATCAGTCTGTCAGTGAATAAAGAAAGGCAGAAAATATTTATTAATTCTTTCCCATTGGGAGTGGTGAGTGAGCGAAACAGTACAAGTCAGTTAAACAAAGGACAAGGATCTATGTGTGTTGATAGCCTCATTTTTTCTTCCACATTCCATTCTTTTTGCTTCTCCTCCAACTAACCAAACAGTGGAAGAGGCCAGTTCAGTTGTGGGGAAAATCAAATATCCTATGGCAATGTATTAAATGTTTGGATTTTGTCGTAGCTGAAGCAAGTGAAAATACCATCAATAAGGATCCCAAGAAGAAGTTGTTTATACCATATCGCAACTCTGTTTTGACGTGGCTACTCAAAGACAGTTTAGGAGGGAATGCCAAGACAATCATGATAGCAGGTAAGGAATATGATTGAACCCTTTAGTTCCAAGCTTGAAATGGTGGATTGAAATACTTATTCTCCATACTGATTGACACTGTACTTCTTAAAAGTTAGTCTGAGAATTAGGTGGTATATCCATAGTCAGCCTCTCTTAACTGGAAGTTTTCTCTATTGTGGTTCACATCATGTCATTGTTGTAAGGTGCAAGAAGAGACAGCACTCTCTTTTTATAAGGAGCAGGGAGTGCTCAGTGGTGAGAGTGCTCGCCTCTCAGTAATGTGGCTTGGGTTCTGCAATTCTGGTGGGTGCCACATTTGGGTTGAGTTTGTTGTTGGTTCTTGCCTTGCTCCAAGGGGTTTTCATCGGGTTCTCCAGTTTTTCTCGCTTCGCAAAAACCAACACTCAAAAATCCAATTTGACCAGGATAGAAGACCTGCATGAAAACCAGCTAAGCCCCAGTGATACTTCCTCTCTAAATATTGTAATTCATTTATTTGTTATATATAATTTTTTTATTCTTCAAAGCTATATCACCAGCTGACGTGAATTATTCAGAAACCCTCAGCACCTTGCGATATGCCAACAGAGCCAAGAACATCATTAACAAACCCACCATCAATGAGGTTGGTTACAAAGTTTGGTAAATTAAAATGAGTGAATTTCAGGCCAACAAATTTTATTTCTTATTCATGGTAGTGGCTTGTGTAAAAAAATAAGTCATTGGTAAAGTAAAGTAAAACTTTATTTAAACAGGGTAGCCCGTTCAGCTCAAAGGCAGATATCCATAGGGGCCCTGTATAAATAACATCAGGTTAAAAATAGAAATTTATGTACACAGAGTGGTAGCTTTTCGAAGGTTTCTCAGAGGACCGTAATCTTCCTTTGCTAATAGAATAAATTTTGTTGATTTTAGAAGTAAGCCCAATCACAAGTAAACATCACACCGAGTATACCAAGTGCGGCAATTTTTCAATTGATAAAAGATGATTTGAAGGGGTCATGTTATGCTTGTCCTAAAAAGTTCTTATTGATCTATATGCACATCTGTCGTATCTTAAATCTTGACTTATGTTCTTTAGGATCCAAATGTGAAACTCATCCGAGAACTGAGGGCTGAGATAGATCGACTCAAAGTGCTCCTGCAGGCACATGGCCAGGTAATGGGATATTTATTAAATATTTTAACAGAACACTTCCAGGAGTAGTTCACGAAGTATCATTTATAAACAGCTCCTTTTGGTCAGTGAACAGTGAACATTTTGTGACATTTGTTTAGTTTCGTTATACAAGTGACATCTCTTGTTGTTGTAGGATGGAATTGGAGGGCTTGGGGCTGCTGAAGAATCACAGATGACTGAGAGACTTCACGAGAATGAAGCAAGAGTCGAAGAACTCACTAAGAACTGGACCAGCAAGTGGCGGGAGACGCAGAAAATTATCGAGGTAAAAAAAAAGAATGCAAACAGATTTTCACGATTCTGAAGTTTCCTTGTTCAAAAACGCAACTGCGAGATTCCTGTTATGTCCTTGACCGGTGATACATGTGATTGCTTCTTGAAGTGAAAATAACCTTAAAAAGCTACACAGATTTCTGAAAAGAGTCTAACACATGTGTACTTCTTTCGAGCAGCGGAAGAATTGAGATTGTGAAATAGGACTTCTTTTTTTAGCGTACTCAGTTTGCAAATTGCGAAAGAACCTCAAATTTAACTTTGTTTATGGTGGACATGTTTCGGTCTACCAATGTTAAAACCTTGTTGAATGAAGTTAAAATTCTTGAAACAAATATCTTTATCTTGGCGAGTGAGCATAGTAAAAAAACTCGGTTTTTTTTTCTGCACAATACTGGCCAGATTAAAATTGAAGATTCAATTAACTACGAAGTGGTTGTTATTTTTGTATTGACAGGAGCGAGCTCTTGGGTTCAGATATGAAGGTGCTGGTATTAAAATGGAGTCCGAGCTGCCTCACTTGGTCTGCATTGATGACGATGTGCTCAGTACAGGAGTCACTCTTTATCATTTGAAGGTAGACGGTGTAATATTTACACATATCAATGCTAGCTGCAACAGCAATAACACTCAAATGGTTTTACTCTGACCGAGTTTTCAACGATGTAAAATGAATGAAGTTAACCGAGACATTCAACACACGTGACACGGAACATCATATGATTGTGCTCAGGTGTGTTGGGTTTTACGAAGTGTCCATATTCTAAAGAGCTCAGTCACCCGCGCCGTTGGCGGGAACTTTTAGAGGAACGAACCAATCAGGAAAAAGCAAAATTTGTCTGCGGAAAAAAAGCGGGAATATTTTTAGATGGTCGAAACCCGGATAAACATAACAGTGCGTAAGGAGGTGCTGAAAGTATTGAAAGCCACCACATGATTAAATTAGTTCGAGCTTTTCTTGAGCTGTATAACTGGGTTACCGTAAGCAATCATTCTTGTGCCTAGCAAACAGTGCAAACATGCTGTTGTTTTTTCCACACGAAACTGGAGCAAAACCAAGCCAATGGTGACTTGGTAAAGCGCGCCAGTTTTCTCGCGCTTGGCGCCGGCTGTATGTTTTGGTTTCGAATTCTGATTGGTTCATATTGTTATTTACATTTATTCTGATTGGCCAGATGCAATACCTTGCTTTTTCGTCATGTTACAACAATAAGAAAACCAGTCTGTAGTGACAAATTAAGGAGTGATAAGTGCTTTGTTCATCAAAAGAGAGCTCAAACCTTTGTTGGTAAAAAAGTAATTTTATACTTTTATTTCGCAGGATGGCATGACGTACATTGGAAAAGAGGATGTCAATTTTAACCCTGACATAGGTTTGCGTAGATTCTAGTTCTTATTAAAATAATAAAAGAAAGCTAGTAAACAAATTTCCTTTGCATTTCAAAGCGTTGCTCTGATATCTCGTGCCCAAAGAGAGACCAAAACGTAATTTATCCTTACCTAACTTATATGAAGTGCCTTGATGTTATTAAGGAGAATTTCGATGTTGATTATTGTATTTTTCCTGTTAATTTACAGTGTTGTCAGGGCCTGGTATTGAAGCAGAACATTGCATCATGGAGAGTATCGAAGGGACTGTTATCCTTCATCCCATTGCCTCCCTGTGTCAAGTGAATGGGCTCCCTGTGGGCAAGTCACAGCGGATTAGTCAGGGTAGGTATTTCATTGCAGCATGCAAAGAGTTTGTGGTTTAGTTTTATCCAATCAAAACATAGAGCGAAAACTCAGAAGGACTTTAGAAAGTTGTCACGCCAGCATGGCGCAAGGGATAAACACCAGATGTCACGTAAGGTTTGCTGTTTTTGTCACGTTTGGGTGGACAGTAGGTTTGTCCGGTATCATTTTTTAGTGATATTTTATTATTCTTATTTTTTCGGGGGACAGGGGCAACTTTTCCAACTTACTTATTGTGCTTTTTTTCGATCGAATGAAGGGTTGAAATTGTCATATTTTTTTTCTGCAGGTGATGTAATTTTACTTGGAAAGACTAACATGCTGCGGTTTAACCATCCTCAAGAAGCTGCCAAACTCAGGAAAAAGAGATACGTGAGTTAGTTTGTTGTCATTTAAATTTCAAAGAAATTACAATACTGATTTATACTGCTTTCTCGTTGATCATAGTATGAATCGATGGAAAATCTGGCGGACATTGGATCAGAACCAGAGAGAGAACCATCTTACATGTTCTACAATGCCGGGTGAGCACAAACCTCTATGATTTGCTTCTCAATGATCTACCGTAGGACTTTAGCACACCTACATATGTAAAGAAACATAGGGGAATGCATAACAAAGAGACATACACGCGCGTATATACGCGCACATGTGTGCTATTGACATACGCGTATACGCAAAATACGCTCGTATAATACGCGTATGCGTAGTTCGCATATATTTGAGCTGCACTCTACATACTTCCATTGGGTTGATCTATGACCTCGTCCACCTTACGCCGGAGAAATTTGAAAACTCAGCTTTATTTCTACGGTTAGGCCTACCGTCCGCACCAATTCGTCACGAAAACGGAACTTTTCGAAAACGCTCTTCAAACCGGAGGAATTTGAAAATTCCGGGTTTGCGTTTAGTGTGGACGAACAACATTCTGAAAACGGAGCTTTTCGAAAACGGCTACGACACGATAATCACGTGATTTCCCTGCCCGAGATTTCCTCAAACACAAATCCAAAATGACCGGTGATTGTTGCGTTTTCGAATTTCTCCGAAGTTGTGTGGACGGAAAACATTCGACGCGTTTTCAGAGGGAAAACGCCGTTTTCAACTTTCTCCGGAGTAGTGTGAACAGGGCCAGAGCGACACAATAATTTAATTGCCTATTTCATATTTACTAGTCTGTTGTCGACATTAATGTTTTTCTTTCTTTCTTAGTTTGGAGCTGGAGCGTCAGTATCGCGAGGAAACTCGAAGGATAGAAGAGCAAAGGTGAGCAGAGATTTTGTTTGTTAAATTTGGTCCACCAAATTTGACATGGCTCGTTACAAATGTAATTGAGAAATTTCTGGAGCTTTGATTGACTAATAGTGGGATAACTTCCTTCCTCTGCAAAGTGCCTTTCTGCAAATTTCTGAAAACTTGTTGATGTCGAATTAATCTCTAATTTAATCGAGGTCGTTGCGGTTACCTATATCAGTTAAACATTTTTGTATGTTTGTTTTATCCAGGAAATGCCTTGAAACCCAACAGCGAGAAGCTGCTGACAAATTAGAGGAAGCAAGGTTTGTGCGATACCCTCTCCTCCAATTCAGAGTTATGCAGTGTTGAGGTGTGTGAAGTTTCAGAGATACAAGAACTAACATTGTTTGGTTTTGGGGCGGGAATGTTTCCATGACGCTCGAAAATAGAATTTTACAGTCAAATGTCTCAACACCTCTGTTGACTATTGACGGTCCCATGTTGTTTTTGTTCTGTATTGTTTGCATTTTGAAATACATTTTAAGGCGAAAATTAGATTGGGAAATAAGGCCAAGATCGTCGGAAAATACCCGAAGTTCTCTGAATAGTTTCGTAAAATGCTTAGCATTCTGCCATAATCATTCAAAGATCCTTCAACAATATTTGAAGTCATGAAAAATTTTTTTGCAGTGAGGTACTGATAGTGTTTTTTATCCATAGGCGCGAGCTTGAGTTTCTCCGTTCCCAGCAACAGAGAGCTTCTGAAGTTCGCAGTGCAGAGGAAGTTGAACGAAAAAAGGAGCTGGAAGCGAGTCATCAGCAGTTAGAACTTCAGAAGAAATACTTGGAGGAAATACGAGAAGAACAAGAGCTTGCTCGCCAACGAGCTGAGGAGGAAATAAGACAGGTATACATCGTGAAATATTTAACGCCAAAAGCAAGTGTTTTCAGTTAATGTTGTAAACTTCTAAAAATAAGATACACCAAGATACACCATTCCTAATTTCAGAAAAATAAGCCCCTCGGACAATAAGAAACAAGGCCCCCTCCCCGCCCCTCCCAATTATAACACCATGAGTTTACATTTGGATTTATAACACTTTTTTGCCTTTTATATCTGTACAGTATGATAAGAAAGTTTTGCTTTTTATTTGCCAAATAACAACAGTTGTTTTGTGATAAGTACACTTGGAGAGCTTCGAGTATTTCCGATTAGCTCCAAATATATGCACCACTTTTTTCTGTTTTTCTCTGACCATTTTTGAAGGTTACAATCCTTTCGGATAATGAGTCCCTCCTCCGTCTCCGCAAAGTCAAGCAGGAAAGTCTATTTGAAAAAGAATAAACCCAAGGGTTAATTACTACTTTGACGTTGGTAGTTTTGTCATTTCTATTCATCAGATGTAACTTTGGAACGATTTGTTTCTGTGTTTGCGCGAAGTTTCGTGAACACGAACGGGAAAGAGTCTCATATACAAAGGAAGGGGATGCTTGTCGGAAATTTTGAAAAGAATCCCTAAGATCCTGTTTTAGAAAACAACACAGTATCTCCTGTCATATTTTTTTCGGCTTAATACCCTAAAACGGACCGCAACTGATAGCTCCCGCTGTGGACCTTATGAGGCCGGACACCCTAAGAGGTACGAAAACCGTTTTCTTAACCCTTAAAAGGTACCACGAGTACCCCCGTCCTTTTATATGGGAGTCCCCCCGGACTTGTCATATCGATAACTTTTCTGCTTCGTGTTGTGTTGAAACAACCAGGTGAAGGAAAGGATTCGTCAAGAACAGGAAGAAGAGAAGCAGAGGCTGGAAGCTGAAATGCAGCGGTTGATGGCGCTGGAAGAAGACCACAGGAAGAAGGTTCAACTCAAGGAACAGGAGATGGGAAGAATTAAAGAAGATCTGGAGAAGAAATGGGACCGAGAACGAAGACAGGTACTGTGAAAATGCTTAGGAAAGTCTAGTTATCAAGCTAAAAACTCCTAATGGGAGAGAGGTGGAGGAAAACTGCGCCAGGGTGGTGTTAGACTGGCTAAGAGTAATCCAGTAATAATAGACCACTTTCGATATATTAAAATTCAGCTTGGCAGCAAGGCCTAGAGGACACAAACAAAGGAAGCTGAATGACCATGTTTATTCATTTCTTTTGTTTGTGTCCTTTAATCCTCACTATCAAGCTGAATTTCAATATATCGAAAGTGGCCTATTGGTTAGATCACTGTGCCATTGGTATTTTTGAAGATAGAGTGGGAATGGGCTTTGCTATGGGAGGCAGGGTTAGGATTCTGTCTTTTTTAGTGGTGTTGCTAATTAGCTTGACGCTAATTTTGTTTTCAGGTTGAAATGCAGCGTGAAGAAGTGGCAAGATTACAGCAAGAAATTGAAACAAAATCACAAGAATTAGAATTAGCTGAGCAGCAGGCTCGAGCCACTGCTGAACGGAGCAGTGCTGCATCATCACCTGGGACACTTAGTCCTTCTGTTAGCAATGACATGCTGCAGAGAGCTCCTGAACGCAGTGAGGCGGAAGCCGAAGCGGCAGCTGAGGCAGCAGCCGAGGCAGCGGCTAGGGCAGAGCCCGAGGAGAAGTCGCAACTGGAAGTACTCCGTGAGCGACTGAAGCAGCTGGAAGTTGATTATGAAGAGCAGCGAAAGCAAGCTCAGCGGGAGGTGTCCCAAGCCAAGGAGTCGGTCCGGCGAGTGGAGCAGGAGACCTTGGAAGGACTCCGCAGCCTGACCACTGGGAAGTCAGCCATTGAAGGAGAATGGCGCCGACTAGAGGAAGTGCAGGCCAAACACAAGCGAGCTCAAGACCAAGCCTACGCCAAGATTAGAGACGTGCGCGAGATGCTGGAGAGTGCGGAGGAGGTGGAGGAAGCGTCACTCATTGAAAAGGAGAAAATGATTATGGAGAGAAGGGCTGCAAGAATGAAAGTGGAGGAAGCCAGGAGGAGGTTGGAAGAGTTGGAAAACGAAGATAAGGACGTTGAGTTGACTGAAGCCGATTTCACGAAAAAGAAAGAACTGCTAGAATTCGAAACTCGCGAAGAGATCAAGGACATCAGAGAGGAACGAAAAATATTGAACGAATTGTTGAACAAGCATCAAACGGCTCTTCAAAAGGCCACGCTTATGGTGACAGAAACGAAAACTAAGCTTGAGAAACATCTGGAGGGCGAGAAGTTGATTCTTATGCCGCTCAGAGAGAAAGTTGAGAGCTTGGTGCGGAATGAACTAGGACCGCTGATTGAGTATGAACAAGAGATAGAGAGAAGATGTGAAGATGTTGACCGCGAGGGGCGAGAGCGCAAGAAGCTCATTTACAAACAGCGCCGGAGGATTGCGTTGCTGGAGCGACAGCACAGCCAGGCACTGCAGCAGGCGGAGAAAGAGACTTTGAACGAGGAGGAGCTGGAGGAGTTGGAGAACGAAAGAGAAGCGGAACGAAGCCTGATAAGGAAAGAAAAGGTCCGACTTCTTGAACTGGAGAAGAAGCACAAGGAACAGCAGGAGGTGGCAGAGCTGACGATCGGAGAGGCGGTGCAAGAGTTGGAGAAACGCAAGGCGAGCGTGAATCAGCTGCTTGAAACTGAGAGAAGAAAGCTATCTGATCTGGAAGCCGTGCACAAAGAGACCTTGGAGCACGTGGAACAAGAACTGGGGCAGAGATCAGAGATTCTGCACAGGGTGAAAGATAAAGTACAGAAGGACAAACGGCAGCTTGCCAAACTAGACGTAAGGCAACAACGCTGCGCGGCCAAAGCCGCCGAGGAGTTATTCCTTATGGCGGACCTGCTGGAGAAGGAAATGAGCGATAAAGGAAAGACAGACGAGCTTATCAGGATCAAAGAACAGAGGAAAAAACTGCAGGAGTTGGACAAACAGCTGAGAATGGCAGAGAAGCGAGAGAAGAATTCACGCGGCGATGACGACCAAAACCCGCAGTGCATTCTGCTATAGACGCATAAATGAACAGGCTTGCTTGTGATTGGTTGTTTTGAGATGCTGGTGCCTGCCATATGTGGGAAGATTGGTTCTGTCTAGTACCCAATCACGAGCAAGTATTAAATCGAGTCTAAATCAATTTAATTTGTTTGTAGGTAACTTCTCTATTATTGAATTTAGTTAAGGGATGGATAAAATTTGTTATTTGAGTTCTATTCCATAAGTTTACTTATTTATAGCGAAGAATATTTCGCTCTTGTATATAGATGAATGAATGCTAGTAGAAGGCGAAGCTTCCACAAGCCTACTTGACCTAACGTCGCAAATACAAATATAAATTGTCTTCCTAAGAACGATCTCCTTTTTACATTTAAATTGAGAATCATCTAAGAACTGTAATCGGGATGTAGCATTTTGTACTACAGCCGTGAAGTTTTCTTTACCCTAGTGATCTTTCGCTATTTTCATCAATCTCCCTTTTGTTGTAAAATAGAATCGTGCAGATTAAAGTAAGAATTGTAAATTAATAATGGAAAGGTTTCTGTCGGCAGTGCTAATTATGGTGTAGGTAAGGTAAATAGATAGTAGGATTTTACACATTATGCCTAATTTTTTCACTGTAAAATTATGCTGATATTCGATGCCCAAAGTTTTTCACTATTATGCTCAAAAGACGTCACTCTTATGCTCATTAATGCGTACGTGAAAAAAGTGCTATTTTCCCTTAATTTTAACGCTTATTTTAATGAAGCGTGAGCGACACCTCATTGTAAGGTTTGACTATTACGAAGAGTTAACTAGAAGTGAAAAACTCGCTCAGCTGCAGCTGACGAGGGTTATATTGACAAGACATTCTGGCATGCTGAAGCCCAATTTGGAAGCTCTTTTTCATGTTGAGACCACTGGGTAGTAACAGTACTCTCGGCCTGCCTAAGGCCCGGAATAAGCCAGTTTTCGTCACTGTTATTCCGGCATAATGCTCGATTCTTTTATCTCACTTTTATACTCAAAGTAATGCGGCATAATGTGTAAGACCCTAATAGATAGCTTAATTGATTAAACTTTCGGGAGAAAAGGACTAGAAGTTATCGAATTGTGGAAAGAAAACTGCGGAGTTCTTTCTTTGCAAAAGTTATTTAATTAAATTTAAAAGTCAATTCTCTTCATTAAAGAATCAATATTTATTTCGCCGAACTAAAGTAAGACTTAGTTTATTTTTATTTGAAATTTGGCAGCGATTATTATCAACAGTAAATTGTATAAAACGTATTGGCCCTGTTTATAGGGTGCCAGTGAAAAAGGGAATTGAGGTGAAAAAATAAGTAACAAATGTGTTATAATGTTAGAATAGGGATTATACCCTCATCAGTTAAAAACGTTAACATCCCGGCAGGGCATATCCCAAGGATTTGACATCATTAACCCCTGGGATATTCAATCTCTTCAGAAAGTATTTGTATTTGTATTTGTAATGTACAGCAGAAGGGCTAAATCGAAGGAAATGTTTATAGCTCACTGAGGTACAATGTCACAAAAGAGAGAAGATTTGGAGACGATTGACGGGAATCGCGAAGGGTATTGATTTTGCCCCAGAAGGGCCCATGAATGTCAAATCCTTGGGAAATTTTGAAATATTTGAAGTGGTACTAGATGATGCGAAGAGTGCCTCACGGAATTATCAATGAACAATTGAACAACAGAAAATGTTACATAATAAAGGAATGGTGGGTATCGAGTATGTGTTGTTTAACTTCTTTCAGTGATATATAGATGCTTTTTCGTTACTCTGTACATGGTGAGAGGCGCGGTGGCCTCATGGTTAGAGCGCTCGTCTCCGGATCGAGCGGTCCGGGTTCGGGGACATTGGGTTGTGTTCTTGGGCAAGACACTTAACTCTCACAGTGCCTCTCTCCACCCAGGTGTATAAATGGGTACCGGCAAAATTAAAGGTGGGGGCCAGTGGATGGTAACCCTGCGATGGACTAGCATCCCTTCCAAGGGGGAGTAGAAATACTCCTACAGAAACCAGGATAAGCTCCTGCCTGATGGGCCACGTGACTGGTATCCAGACTTTCACACGGACTGAATCTACGATCATGGACAAAAGTCCTTGGGACGCCGATGTAATGCAACGAATTACTGAAGCTCGAGAGAGCACCGTTAACCCACTCAATACAATGTTGAAACTAAGGAGAAATTGCAGGTACTAGTTTCCAACATTGTATGTGGGATGAGGGCTCGGAGGCTAAGAGTCTGGCTGTATGCAAAACCGCCAAAACTACAAATTCCCCATATTCGTATTCTCGGTACTGGACTGGATCTAGCTTGCAACTGAGGCTCATGCGGGAAGTCTTCGAATGCAAATGACATTAATCTCATCGAGGAAAAGGTGGTTGTCCTTCATCGTGGTAGATGCAATAATAAAATGTATTATCGTTTGTCTCACGATGTAGTCACTTGAGATGTAGATCGACATTAATTGACATTAATCTCTTTTTAATGATACTCCTCCGCATGAGCCTCCATTTCAAGTTAGTTCCAGTCCAATACCGAGAATACGAAAATCGCCTATTTGTTCCAAGACTTTTGTTCACGATTGTGAGTCCTTCACTTTCTGTATTCACAAACCTGATCTGCTGGTGTTCCTAACATGGCGCACGAGTGTCCAGGACACGTGTGAGAAACGCGCCGCGCGAGGGTCATTTTTACGACATGCGCGTGTTTACATTGCGTGTTCAAGTTTTACAAAATTTATTCAAACACATTCCGTTTTTATTTTGTATGCTTTCTTACAAAACCCCGTGGTTGAAAACTGCCCCTGTTTCCTAGATAACAAAAAAACTAAAAAGTAAGAAAAGAAGTTAATCTGATTTCTAGTTTTTCATCCAGTCGTGTGGAAATCTTGTCATTCTAAGGAAAGTTCAGAGATTAGTGTGGTGAAAAGATTAGAAGCCGAGTTTTACTCCTAGCCTTTACAGTCCATAACACTTTTTAGAAATTATATCTTACATAAATTATTCGTGCATAACACTTTTTGTCATATACTTTTGAAACAGAGCACTTTTTCATTGTCTACATAGCCTCACCCAAACACGAGGGGATTCGGAGAATTCGAGACAGTTATGCAAACCTGCGACGCAGTCAAGGACTTGAATAACTTTCGAGAATTCTCTCAATCCCCCGAAAGTTTAGATGAGGATGTGTAACCACGGAAAAGTGCTCTATTGCTTTTATAAAACATTTCTCAAAAATACGCGCGAATCTAAAACTTCCGTGTTTACATACTCTCATCTAAACACACCTATCAACCAATGAGAGCGCGCATAGAATCTCGCGTATTTTCTAATTTGCTATATTTTTAATATAGCGAAGTTTACCAGAAAGATATATATAAACAAGGTGAGAAAATACATATCACCAGCCGTGGTTTTCTAATGTGAAACGTGCTCTGCTGAAACCAGAATAGAGTTGACCTTGAGCTAGTCCTGCTGCTGTGATAAAACGTAAAATGTCTTCTGTGTGTAACGTGCCCAGTACGTATTCTTCATCCCACTCAAATTTCAGTTTGTTTCCAGTGCTTCCCTTCTTTCTCCAGGGAGAGGGAAGACGTTCAGCCTAGTCCCCAGGGCCTTCTCCTCGACGATTTTCAAAGTGGAGAAAGGCCCTGGCCCTGGGACGAGGTTGGGAAGAAGTTAGACCTTGCAAACGAGGTTGACTCTAATCCTCAGTTTTCCCGCTTCAGTTTATGACCTAACCAGCCGACGGGCATATGACCAAGAATCAAACCATCTTTCCTCATAACTTCACCCCTGGAGCGGTATATAAAACCACTGAAACTCGAGCTCTTGGAGCCAACGAACAACTTGGCGTGAATACAAATCACTTGATCGTGTAGTCCTTTGATGTCCATGTCGAAAGAACGCTCCGTCGGCTTGAAAAACTCGTCTGAGAAATACAGTTGATAGCCCGCTTGCTGGAACGGCTCGAACCAGTTTTTATCTGGCTCGTCTGTGGCGACATACAGAGCCGAAGAGACATTGCGGAATTCTAGGCGCGCCATGTTCTGCAGCCAGTAAGATGGCGCCATGTTCGCGCTAATCTTGTGGTCAGTTCTTCTGACGTGTATGGCGTTAAAAGGGCGCGGGAGTATAGATAAAATTTGGAGCGCATTCTCGTAAATCTTTGGTGAAAACCTCACGCTATTGAGAATCCAGCGCTGCGCTAAGATAGCATTCTCTCTGTGGAAAAACCGAACATTTGCCTTGTAACTCGTGTCCTGAGACAAGTAGATAATATCGGCTTCTACATTTTGAAGCTCACTTAAAATTCCACGAATTATGGGCTTGTGCGCGCGCACGTGTCTTTTCATCTCCCGCGGGCACGCCCGAACGCTTCTCGAACTGTTGTTAGAGACAAATTCAATCCCTCGGGTCAAATTCTTGTTTCCCGCGGGAATAGCATCAACCCAGAAGCCTAAAGCATCTGAGTGACAAACACGATGCCATTTCAAATTCGAAAATGTCGCTGAGAACTCTTTGTGATTTGTTTTTACTTCGTAAACGTTTACTGTGTTACGCATGCGCTTGAGATCGAGAACCTGGGATATGGGTACCAGATCTTGCTCGGTCATGCAGTTGTAAACCCAATTGATTCCCCATCGTTTTTCTAAGCTTCTCCACTGTGCAAGATTTTTCCGCCTCGAGGAAATCGTCATGTCGTGCGACGCCACTGGATGCACGATTAATGTTCTGTTGAGCAACTTGGCTATGATAAGTGCATTTTCAAGGGCAATACGGTGATTATTCCACCCGCCATCCGGAGGTTGATAAGTCAAGTATAAACGCCTTGAAGTCTGTACACGGGATTTTGTCACCTCGTTATGCGATTGTTCCTCTTTTCCTCGTTTTCCACGCCCATGTGAAAGGTTCAGTGCACGAACCCGCCTTGTTTGGGCAGGTATCGGCCCCTGCCGGTCTTGCAATGATAACAAATAAAATTGTGCAGCCATAAGAATCAAAGCCGCCAAGAGCTGTGCAAAAACCACCAAATGGAAAAGCCTGGTCATCGAAAGATCGGAGCGTTCAGGGGTATGGCAGGATAGCGAGACTGTTGCAACTGGCCCTCAGAGTCTAAGTAAATTCTCTTTCTCCATTTTTTCTGGCTCCAGACTGATTTCCATTTGAAACTGGACCGCAGGGGAGAGATGACGACACAATTGAGATAATTTGCTCTTTTTTCTTCCACAATGGCAGCAGGTGGTCAGATTGCTGTAAGCAATAAGCCTCACAATGATAGTATCAAAAAGATCCATTTGATTTTCAGCGATTTTTGTTGAATAAGCTAAGATTTTTGTGGCGTGTAGAAATTCAGCTTTGAGGTAAACAGGCCACAGATTGCCAGGTGTGCTTGGAGAATATGAACGACAGGTGTCTGTTTACTTATTGACAGCTTTTCGTGTTGTCTTTCCGCAGAACATGACCGCTTTCATCGGCGACTGAATCTTGCTTCTTTATAACGCGAAGGCCAAGAGACATATGCAATCATCTACATGAAAGATAACTTCTAGATTAAGAATATAGCTATAGTGCGACAAGTTTATTCCGTTCTCTCCAACGCTAAACATATTAAGTTTTATGATCGAGTCCTCTTGACCTGTGTTTTTTGTTTCTTCACTTTACGTTCTACTTGACTGATATCCGAAAATTGGACTTATCTTCGAGGAAATTGAGGCTGATAGCGACTGATTGCTGTCTTAATTATTTCGACTGATTTCATCGACTTAGATTAGATCTATTTGGTATGAAAATTACAAGAGTCTAGCGAAATCGCACTAGACTTCGTAAAAAAGGATGGTCGAGTAAAACGTCATTTTTAATCTAGGTAAAATAATTATCAAACTCAACTTGGACTTTGGATACTTTGTTTCAAATAAAAATTCTAGTCTTTTGGGTTCTTACTGGAGGTAAATACTGAGTATTTTGGTGAGAAAATCATTGTAAATGGTGTATGAGAAGTGTGATTTGAAACACTACCTGAGGACAGGTTTCGTTTTAAATTTCGCCATGACCAAATCTTTCAGAAACATTAGACGGTGTTGGCTGCCTAAATCGTGGGAAATCGCATGAGATAATAAACAATAAAAGCTTTTACAACTGAAACTTGGACAAAGCGAATGAAATCGAGAGCTCCGTGCCCCGCCTAAAATCCTTTTAAGCCGAATAGAATATCGCTCATTGCATGCACTCATTGTTAGGTTCTGCAATTATTTTCTCTGGAACTTCACCAAATCGTCCGTTTACCCCGGAAAATCATTAAACTTCTGTTGAGTCAATAAACCACTGTTTATCTTAATGGTTTCTTTCAAGGAAAAAATAAATCGCATGACTGAACTGAAACAAGTAAAACTGGCTTTTACGGCAAGTTTAACACAAAATCAGTTGCTTCTTAAATGGGTTTTTGTTCGCTCCAAGGAAGATATTTTGCCCTAGGGCATTCACGAAAGAGCAGGAAAAAATTCTGCCCCCACGTACAAGTTATTGGAAAAGTGACAGTGAAAAGTTCGCCGGTGAGAGCAACTTTACCTACCGCCTGGACAGGCGCTGTGGCGCCTGAAATCTTGACGGCATAGCGGAAATGAAAACAACTAGCCGCCCTCGAGCCAATTCGCTCTATTGCCAAGCGAATGGAAGGAAAACTCGGAGCAGAAATTCCAATGTAGAAATATCAAGTTTTGGCAAAATATGTATTATTTTCACGTTTTTTCTCGTAATTCTTTTATGATAACATAATTGTTCTCTGGATAAAACCTAATGGGTTCTGGTAATCGTTGGCCGAATTTTTCGCGATTTTATAAAGTGGAATTTTTCCCAAGGAATAGAGGACCTTTAATAAAGATAGTTATTGATTCGTTTTGCGTTAATAAGTTTCATTAAGACTCAATTGCATTTTAGTCCAAAAAGCTCCCTAAATCGCTTTGTTCAGTGCATTTCCTCTCAAATAAACATAAAACATAAAGCAACATAAACGAAAACCAACGAAGCTTCTACGACCTACGTAAAGATTACGTGACTTAAGGCTTAGGTATAAATTGAGCCTATTTTCGTTTTTTCTCAGTTTAAAAGCTTACTCAAGTTAAATAGTTTGTTTAACATCTCGGATTGAAGAATTGTTGTACTGTTAATTGAGAATAATTACTTGTCTTTATTGACCTGTTTCACTGAAGACCGAGACATGGTAAATGAAACGAACGGTTCAACGTTTGAGTCAACCGGTGGTCATTTCAGACTAAATAGATTTGTTTTATTGGGTTACTGCTCTCAAGAGCAAGGAAGAAGGCAAAATTATGTCATTACGCTTCGGAAGCTTGAAAGTTCAAAGGAAAAACATCTCCTTCTTACATGAAAAAGTTTTGGGACTACTTTGATAGGTCAAGTACGTATTGCTATTGGGTATTGTTATTGCCCGGTAAATAAGCAGAACACCTGTGATACAGTCAACAGATGTCGCCGAGTAGACTAACTATAGAAAACCACAATCATTAGAGGTTTCAAATCTTCATAATTAGTTTACAAAAGGAAAACGTCTTGCTGAAACTCACTTTCAAGAACCTTTAAATATTTACCATTGCCTGTTAATACCTTGTTTTTTTGTCATGATCTCATATCTTCTCCTGTATTAGTTTTAAGAGTCACGTACTTTTAAAACCGCCCCCTCTTTGCGTGAAAACTTCGGAAATTGGAACGCTGAGTTTTGCTACAGACAGATGAATTAAATTGCTATTGAATGTACTGACCACGCGTTGACAGCCGAGGGAAACTNTCCTCCGCATGAGCCTCCATTTCAAGTTAGTTCCAGTCCAATACCGAGAATACGAAAATCGCCTATTTGTTCCAAGACTTTTGTTCACGATTGTGAGTCCTTCACTTTCTGTATTCACAAACCTGATCTGCTGGTGTTCCTAACATGGCGCACGAGTGTCCAGGACACGTGTGAGAAACGCGCCGCGCGAGGGTCATTTTTACGACATGCGCGTGTTTACATTGCGTGTTCAAGTTTTACAAAATTTATTCAAACACATTCCGTTTTTATTTTGTATGCTTTCTTACAAAACCCCGTGGTTGAAAACTGCCCCTGTTTCCTAGATAACAAAAAAACTAAAAAGTAAGAAAAGAAGTTAATCTGATTTCTAGTTTTTCATCCAGTCGTGTGGAAATCTTGTCATTCTAAGGAAAGTTCAGAGATTAGTGTGGTGAAAAGATTAGAAGCCGAGTTTTACTCCTAGCCTTTACAGTCCATAACACTTTTTAGAAATTATATCTTACATAAATTATTCGTGCATAACACTTTTTGTCATATACTTTTGAAACAGAGCACTTTTTCATTGTCTACATAGCCTCACCCAAACACGAGGGGATTCGGAGAATTCGAGACAGTTATGCAAACCTGCGACGCAGTCAAGGACTTGAATAACTTTCGAGAATTCTCTCAATCCCCCGAAAGTTTAGATGAGGATGTGTAACCACGGAAAAGTGCTCTATTGCTTTTATAAAACATTTCTCAAAAATACGCGCGAATCTAAAACTTCCGTGTTTACATACTCTCATCTAAACACACCTATCAACCAATGAGAGCGCGCATAGAATCTCGCGTATTTTCTAATTTGCTATATTTTTAATATAGCGAAGTTTACCAGAAAGATATATATAAACAAGGTGAGAAAATACATATCACCAGCCGTGGTTTTCTAATGTGAAACGTGCTCTGCTGAAACCAGAATAGAGTTGACCTTGAGCTAGTCCTGCTGCTGTGATAAAACGTAAAATGTCTTCTGTGTGTAACGTGCCCAGTACGTATTCTTCATCCCACTCAAATTTCAGTTTGTTTCCAGTGCTTCCCTTCTTTCTCCAGGGAGAGGGAAGACGTTCAGCCTAGTCCCCAGGGCCTTCTCCTCGACGATTTTCAAAGTGGAGAAAGGCCCTGGCCCTGGGACGAGGTTGGGAAGAAGTTAGACCTTGCAAACGAGGTTGACTCTAATCCTCAGTTTTCCCGCTTCAGTTTATGACCTAACCAGCCGACGGGCATATGACCAAGAATCAAACCATCTTTCCTCATAACTTCACCCCTGGAGCGGTATATAAAACCACTGAAACTCGAGCTCTTGGAGCCAACGAACAACTTGGCGTGAATACAAATCACTTGATCGTGTAGTCCTTTGATGTCCATGTCGAAAGAACGCTCCGTCGGCTTGAAAAACTCGTCTGAGAAATACAGTTGATAGCCCGCTTGCTGGAACGGCTCGAACCAGTTTTTATCTGGCTCGTCTGTGGCGACATACAGAGCCGAAGAGACATTGCGGAATTCTAGGCGCGCCATGTTCTGCAGCCAGTAAGATGGCGCCATGTTCGCGCTAATCTTGTGGTCAGTTCTTCTGACGTGTATGGCGTTAAAAGGGCGCGGGAGTATAGATAAAATTTGGAGCGCATTCTCGTAAATCTTTGGTGAAAACCTCACGCTATTGAGAATCCAGCGCTGCGCTAAGATAGCATTCTCTCTGTGGAAAAACCGAACATTTGCCTTGTAACTCGTGTCCTGAGACAAGTAGATAATATCGGCTTCTACATTTTGAAGCTCACTTAAAATTCCACGAATTATGGGCTTGTGCGCGCGCACGTGTCTTTTCATCTCCCGCGGGCACGCCCGAACGCTTCTCGAACTGTTGTTAGAGACAAATTCAATCCCTCGGGTCAAATTCTTGTTTCCCGCGGGAATAGCATCAACCCAGAAGCCTAAAGCATCTGAGTGACAAACACGATGCCATTTCAAATTCGAAAATGTCGCTGAGAACTCTTTGTGATTTGTTTTTACTTCGTAAACGTTTACTGTGTTACGCATGCGCTTGAGATCGAGAACCTGGGATATGGGTACCAGATCTTGCTCGGTCATGCAGTTGTAAACCCAATTGATTCCCCATCGTTTTTCTAAGCTTCTCCACTGTGCAAGATTTTTCCGCCTCGAGGAAATCGTCATGTCGTGCGACGCCACTGGATGCACGATTAATGTTCTGTTGAGCAACTTGGCTATGATAAGTGCATTTTCAAGGGCAATACGGTGATTATTCCACCCGCCATCCGGAGGTTGATAAGTCAAGTATAAACGCCTTGAAGTCTGTACACGGGATTTTGTCACCTCGTTATGCGATTGTTCCTCTTTTCCTCGTTTTCCACGCCCATGTGAAAGGTTCAGTGCACGAACCCGCCTTGTTTGGGCAGGTATCGGCCCCTGCCGGTCTTGCAATGATAACAAATAAAATTGTGCAGCCATAAGAATCAAAGCCGCCAAGAGCTGTGCAAAAACCACCAAATGGAAAAGCCTGGTCATCGAAAGATCGGAGCGTTCAGGGGTATGGCAGGATAGCGAGACTGTTGCAACTGGCCCTCAGAGTCTAAGTAAATTCTCTTTCTCCATTTTTTCTGGCTCCAGACTGATTTCCATTTGAAACTGGACCGCAGGGGAGAGATGACGACACAATTGAGATAATTTGCTCTTTTTTCTTCCACAATGGCAGCAGGTGGTCAGATTGCTGTAAGCAATAAGCCTCACAATGATAGTATCAAAAAGATCCATTTGATTTTCAGCGATTTTTGTTGAATAAGCTAAGATTTTTGTGGCGTGTAGAAATTCAGCTTTGAGGTAAACAGGCCACAGATTGCCAGGTGTGCTTGGAGAATATGAACGACAGGTGTCTGTTTACTTATTGACAGCTTTTCGTGTTGTCTTTCCGCAGAACATGACCGCTTTCATCGGCGACTGAATCTTGCTTCTTTATAACGCGAAGGCCAAGAGACATATGCAATCATCCACATGAAAGATAACTTCTAGATTAAGAATATAGCTATAGTGCGACAAGTTTATTCCGTTCTCTCCAACGCTAAACATATTAAGTTTTATGATCGAGTCCTCTTGACCTGTGTTTTTTGTTTCTTCACTTTACGTTCTACTTGACTGATATCCGAAAATTGGACTTATCTTCGAGGAAATTGAGGCTGATAGCGACTGATTGCTGTCTTAATTATTTCGACTGATTTCATCGACTTAGATTAGATCTATTTGGTATGAAAATTACAAGAGTCTAGCGAAATCGCACTAGACTTCGTAAAAAAGGATGGTCGAGTAAAACGTCATTTTTAATCTAGGTAAAATAATTATCAAACTCAACTTGGACTTTGGATACTTTGTTTCAAATAAAAATTCTAGTCTTTTGGGTTCTTACTGGAGGTAAATACTGAGTATTTTGGTGAGAAAATCATTGTAAATGGTGTATGAGAAGTGTGATTTGAAACACTACCTGAGGACAGGTTTCGTTTTAAATTTCGCCATGACCAAATCTTTCAGAAACATTAGACGGTGTTGGCTGCCTAAATCGTGGGAAATCGCATGAGATAATAAACAATAAAAGCTTTTACAACTGAAACTTGGACAAAGCGAATGAAATCGAGAGCTCCGTGCCCCGCCTAAAATCCTTTTAAGCCGAATAGAATATCGCTCATTGCATGCACTCATTGTTAGGTTCTGCAATTATTTTCTCTGGAACTTCACCAAATCGTCCGTTTACCCCGGAAAATCATTAAACTTCTGTTGAGTCAATAAACCACTGTTTATCTTAATGGTTTCTTTCAAGGAAAAAATAAATCGCATGACTGAACTGAAACAAGTAAAACTGGCTTTTACGGCAAGTTTAGCACAAAATCAGTTGCTTCTTAAATGGGTTTTTGTTCGCTCCAAGGAAGATATTTTGCCCTAGGGCATTCACGAAAGAGCAGGAAAAAATTCTGCCCCCACGTACAAGTTATTGGAAAAGTGACATTGAAAAGTTCGCCGGTGAGAGCAACTTTACCTACCGCCTGGACAGGCGCTGTGGCGCCTGAAATCTTGACGGCATAGCGGAAATGAAAACAACTAGCCGCCCTCGAGCCAATTCGCTCTATTGCCAAGCGAATGGAAGGAAAACTCGGAGCAGAAATTCCAATGTAGAAATATCAAGTTTTGGCAAAATATGTATTATTTTCACGTTTTTTCTCGTAATTCTTTTATGATAACATAATTGTTCTCTGGATAAAACCTAATGGGTTCTGGTAATCGTTGGCCGAATTTTTCGCGATTTTATAAAGTGGAATTTTTCCCAAGGAATAGAGGACCTTTAATAAAGGTAGTTATTGATTCGTTTTGCGTTAATAAGTTTCATTAAGACTCAATTGCATTTTAGTCCAAAAAGCTCCCTAAATCGCTTTGTTCAGTGCATTTCCTCTCAAATAAACATAAAACATAAAGCAACATAAACGAAAACCAACGAAGCTTCTACGACCTACGTAAAGATTACGTGACTTAAGGCTTAGGTATAAATTGAGCCTATTTTCGTTTTTTCTCAGTTTAAAAGCTTACTCAAGTTAAATAGTTTGTTTAACATCTCGGATTGAAGAATTGTTGTACTGTTAATTGAGAATAATTACTTGTCTTTATTGACCTGTTTCACTGAAGACCGAGACATGGTAAATGAAACGAACGGTTCAACGTTTGAGTCAACCGGTGGTCATTTCAGACTAAATAGATTTGTTTTATTGGGTTACTGCTCTCAAGAGCAAGGAAGAAGGCAAAATTATGTCATTACGCTTCGGAAGCTTGAAAGTTCAAAGGAAAAACATCTCCTTCTTACATGAAAAAGTTTTGGGACTACTTTGATAGGTCAAGTACGTATTGCTATTGGGTATTGTTATTGCCCGGTAAATAAGCAGAACACCTGTGATACAGTCAACAGATGTCGCCGAGTAGACTAACTATAGAAAACCACAATCATTAGAGGTTTCAAATCTTCATAATTAGTTTACAAAAGGAAAACGTCTTGCTGAAACTCACTTTCAAGAACCTTTAAATATTTACCATTGCCTGTTAATACCTTGTTTTTTTGTCATGATCTCATATCTTCTCCTGTATTAGTTTTAAGAGTCACGTACTTTTAAAACCGCCCCCTCTTTGCGTGAAAACTTCGGAAATTGGAACGCTGAGTTTTGCTACAGACAGATGAATTAAATTGCTATTGAATGTGCTGACCACGCGTTGACAGCCGAGGGAAACTCAGCCAGACAAGCAGCCGGGAACATGCAATTAACAAACCGGAAGCTTGTAATGGGCTCTTGACTATAAAACAAGCAATAAGTGTACATTTCTTTACTTGTCAAGTAGTGGGGAAGGATCGCGGATAAGCCAGTAAGTTGTGATTTCCTTGTTTTGTTAGCCACGAAATTAGTGCTGAATTTTGCTGTGTGATTCTCTCGATATTTTTCTGTATTTAGCAGCTTTAGAATATTCATTCTCCGCTGTTTAGCGTTGATCTTATTTTTCCGCACTATAATATTGTATATTTCGCTGGTCACATCCAAATCTAATTAACAACATTCCTACGGAGAAAAACTGTAGAAAAGAAGAAAACAAACAATGTCTAATTTTTCGATGCATTTTGTATTTATGATAATCGACAGTTTTTAAATCTATCCCAAGATCTTTTAGAGCTGATTTTTCTGTGTGAAGGCTCAAATTCGCTGTTAGCGAAAAAAAAAAAAAAGAAGAAAGGAAAAGAAAGAAACAGTGTCATTTCAGCTCAGTTGCCTCTACACGGGCACGATCGTAATTATAGAGGCTGGTTAATAATAATAATAATTATATATTAAAAACGCCGCTTTGCTTTGTAATATCGACTGACTACACTCTACGCTGAAGGAATTTGAAAACGCAGCTTTATTTCTACGGTTTGACCTACCGTCCACACTAATCCGTCACGAAAACGGAGCTTTTCGAAAACGCTCTTCAAACCGGAGGAATTTGAGACCGTCGGCTTTTCGTTTTCGAGCCGGGACAGAAGACAGTTTGAAAATGGGGCTTTTTGAAAAGGGGTGACCTCACAATAATCACGAGATTTCCTTGTCAGTGTTTTCCAAACACAAGGCCAAAATGACTGGTGATTGTTGCGCGTTTTTAAACTCCTCGGCGTAGTGTGGACGGAAAACATTTGACGCTTTTTCAGAGTGCATGAAGCCTCCGTTTTCAAATTCCTCCGGCGTATTGTTGACGGGGTGTCAATTTTTGTAACATACCAGAAATGAGTATCACGTTGACAAGAACGGTGGTCTGTGGCTTCGAAATGGTTTTGCTAATTAAATTTACTAATTTTGCATACACACGTAGTAAACGATCCTAAAACCAAAACGCCCTAAGCGGAAGCTTGACAACTGTTTTGCTAAGAATTACGGGAGTCCTGTCACTGATTTTGAAGCCATTCAAGCCTGGCTATGGAGCCGAAAATTTCATTCTTCTTGCTTTGGCACGCGCACAAAGGTGACAGATCCTTGTAGCAAAAGTTGAAAGATTGGAAAAAGAGGAAAAAGATTTACCGAAACGTTCTACCGGCCTGTTTTAGTTCAATTTTCGAGCATCGATTGTTTCTTGTCCGTCATTTTCTTGTCAAATTATTTATTTGCTCAATTGTTTCAAAGCTGAAGCTTGCAACATCAAATTAGCAAAACGCGCTGTGAACCCAAGCAGAATTTGCTGAAAGCATAATTAGCCAAAAGAACCCACTGCGGGTCAACCTATTTGACCTTCGCCAATTTCTAAGCGATCAGTTGAAATTTCACCTCGTTTCTATTTCTGCTCGTTTCTCATTTCAGTCCTCATCACGCCATCAGACGCATAAGGCATCGGACGCTTAAGGCCTCGTTTCTCAGCTATCAGGAAATTTTACAGATCACTCATTTGTTAAAATGCGCCGCGTCATTTCGCATCTGACAGTTAAACTTGTGATCAATTCAATTCTCCAGGCAGGCATGGTAATTACAGGAAGAGAACCACTCAGACTAACCCATAGACTTTCTTTTAATGCGTAATTCCTGATTTCTTTCAAAGTTTTAGTAGGAGAGAAGGCATGAACAGAAAAACTTAGAAAAGGAAAGGTGGAAAGAACGATATTGGGGCTCTGGTAATTTATGCGATAGTGGCAAATCACGTGTTTTGGGAGCTGATTTCAATTATTATTTTTTCCTTGAAAAGCTACCTCAGTGGGCTTTCTGTACACACTTTTTCTTTGCTGTACTTTTAAACTTCGTCCCAAAGGGAGTTAGGCAGTACTGTCCGCGAGCAAAATATTATTTGTAGCATCTGCGGCTCCGTCTTGGCCAACACCTTTTTTGTGAGCACCAAAATACTTCGTGCTGACCAAAAAGATTGCAGACCCTGGAAATGAAAATTGCGTTAAGTTCGTTGGCAGAAGGCAGGAGGCTCTAGATTTTGGCTCAGCTCAGCCTTGCTTTCCTCCGAGCGCTCAGTCACCGCTGACCGAAAATGCGCTGTCTCTGCGGACGAGATTGTGCGTTCGTCGCAAGGTTTATCAGGTTGCGTTTTATCTGGTACAATCATCTCATCAATCATTCTTTACGAGTGGTTTGTTCTCTGTGTTGTCCGTCAATTTGTTTTTCGCTTTCTCAACCATCTACTCTGACTCCTTTTATCCTTCCACGTATGCACATATCACAGCATATAATATGGTTTCCAGACTTAATTTACAATGAAATGAAGTTCTAGATTTTAACGCTAAGAGAATTATGTTAGCCACAGTTGAGCACGGTTATTGGATCAATCTAACTGAGTAACAAGTTGATCACTTTGCGCACACACCGCTTCAGCGCTATGTGTTCGCGCCGTTTGTTGCGTGTCGCTTTGAATGTCGGAGATCAGTTGTAATGCATGAACATGCCTGAAAAAGATGGGATTGTCAATCTTTAAGCTAAAACTGTGGTGGTGCTGAAATGATGAGTGCAAGTTCCAAGAATGCAAGATAATGGATTCTGCCTGAATTTTTTAAAAAAATTCTTCAAAGATGCAGTGATGAGTACCAGTGACTTTCGCTCCCCTCTGGAATTTTAACTGTCCCGCGGAAACAAAAAAAGTTAAAGAAAAAAACACTCACTGACTGAGCTTGGCACAGAAAAATAAGGTCGTTGTTAACTCATATGTCCGTATCTGCCCGGGAGGTGGATATGACTCGCTATTTTCATAGTATCACCTTCCAAGATGCAGTCGAGAAAATCATTGATAACCTTAGTTCAACAAGCAAACCGCAAGAAGCTTTGAGCTGGTCGTGTTTCCCCCACACCACATGAATAAACAGAAATGATCACAGGAAACCAGTTGACGGCGAAACACCGACCACCCGAAATCTACGTGGTTCATTTCAGTGATTTATTTTTCACTCGGTTGCAAATAGTCTCACCGCAAAACTAGGCTCCATTCAGAGCAACACGCCTGGAATCGACTGTCTGCTTTTTGTGGCTTATTATGTGACGTTTGTGCTTTAAATAAACCTGGGAGGTAGTTTGCGTGACTGTGTGGGTCTTTGATCTGTGGGTTTTAAAACCGCTTTAAGTGTCATTTACAGCACACTCCATCGGGATAATTTGCAGGAAACACGTCTTTTGTGGGGTTCAGCTTGTGCCTCCCGCTCTTGATTCTAATATAACGTGGTACGTATAATCCTTTGTAGGCCTTTGTGTATTTGCTTCGATGGATTTGCTGTATACTTTACGTCTGACAAATGTCGTGTCTAACTGTTTATGCTCGGACGAAGGTATATTCAACCTTTTCAAACGCTGTCAGTCCGTAATCCCTTAATCTGTCTTGCTGTAAATATTGCACGGTTTTTAAGTAGTCTTGTAAAAACAAATTCTTGATGTTTATTGCGGATAGCTCTTGGGTAAAGGAGCGCATTTAGATTCGAGTAATCGTCTATAGGAATTAGATAGTGTAGTATAAGACCATTTCAAGTAGTGAGCTTCGAAATTTTCTTAGACAATCCGGGCACTGTATTTGCAATGGCAAATCAGGGATTGACTCTGATTTAAACATGATATAGTTAGTACTATTTAAGTTCAAAGTTTACATTCTGGCTTATGCAACGCCGGCTACGTTTGCACACCCACAACAGATCCTTGAAAGGCAGGGAGCTTTCTTTCTCGTGCGTTTGACAGGAAATTTGGAGTTTAAGTTTATTTGCACTCGCGGTGAGAACCACAGGTTTGGCATAAATATTCCTTCTTATCGATGAGCAAATCGTCTTAAACACAACAGAAACTGGAGATTTGACTGACGGCTGAGAGCATGGGGGCGAATTGTTCAAGTGTTTTGTGGCTGTGTCTGTACATGATGTCTCACAGCAGGTCACTGGCTGACAACACGACAAAAAATTCTTCCAATCTTTCGATGATTAGTAAATGACACGGTATTATCGCAGTATATCACTGGCGACACAATTCGTTGGCTAAAAGGCTGCTTATTTGCATGTCTTTTTGCTATGATTATTTTTCAGTTTTCTTTGGCCAAGATTTTCCTTCCACACGTTTTCCTTTTTCACTTCTTTTCATCAATTTTTGCACTTCCTGACTTCCTGACAAGGTTACGTTTTTGCGCTTTTCAAAATTTGATGTTATCAGCAAAAAGATCGGGCGATGTGATTCGTACAACCATAAAAGATAAAAACACACCTTATAAACTTTTAGCCCGGCTTATCAGACTAATCAGAGACATTGCTGGTCATAAGTCATGCAGTCTTATAAGCGGTATCGACTGACAACCTACGTAGCTTTTCACTTTTCATGTATGTTTCAGCAATATCTTAAGTAAAGAAGTTGTTTAGTCCTTAGCTTGTAAAGAAAACCTCTCAGTGAAACTATCTTAGAGTCTTATGATAAACTGAGCTTTAAAAACAATACAAACGGACAAAGGTTGATTAGTGGGCATTTGTACATCCTTTTGTCCCATTTTCAATACGCCTGTTTACCATATGAAGAACGCTTCCTGTCCTACGAGGCTTCAACCCTAATAATATAGTTTTGGCGACTCGTACATTGTGAAGCGATGTTGCTATGATGTCGTTTTAATCTAACACATAGATGTTATCGGTTTCTAGGCTGTTTTTAGAGTGTTAACTGAAGGTCTTGCAAGGGTTACATCTTTGCTAAGAGATAAGATGGTGATTCCGTTTGCATTTGTTATTGTGACGGCAATGAAAGCTGTTATAGTTCTTGGCCTCTCTCAAGAAACTATCCAAGCGGACCGACTTTGGCGCCACAAAGAGTCGCTTCGAAAGAGCACCGCCAACTTTCCAGGTGTCATTGGACACCCTTTTCCTGCAAACGTCGACGAAAAAAGCCGAGTTCTAAATCGAAAGACTGTCGATGATGTGGACGATCCAAACTTTGGAAATGTCGACTCGATGTCGCATCAAACTTTGCCAGACAAGACTGTTAAACACCGATCTAAAAGGCTGGTATTTGAAGTGGATAATCGGCTCGTGGTGCCTCCATCGTTGATCGAGAAATGTCCCTTTTCAGCCGCAGTGGTTATCTCCACTGGCTGCTCTGGTGTCCTGGTCTCTCCCAGGCATGTCCTTACTTCAGCTCACTGCCTTCATAACGGAAGCCATTACGTAGATGGGTACAGAGACCTACGAGTGGGGTTCCTGTTGAAAAACGGCACCACAGCTTGGCAGGAGATCAGTAACACCAAGATGTCGAAACAGTGGAAGAATGGTAGCGATCCGAGTGCAACGAGATTTGACTACGCGCTGATCAAGTTAAAGGTGAACCATAGTCGCTGTTTCCTGCCCATTGCTCCGAGCCAAACGTACCCTTCTGGGAAGAGCTGCACTCATAAAACCATTCATTTTACAGCATTTGACGAGGACAGGGAGGAAGGCACCATGCTATACAGGTTTGTATGGGCTCTTGTTTTAAATCATCTTTCGGACTGTGTCGAGACCGGATGATGTCCTTTCTAGGCACCTTGTGGCCTTTGTGTAGAAGGAGGGGGCATGTTTGTCTGAAAGTGTGAGAGTGAGGGGGTTGGGGAGAGAGAGAGAGGAAGATTTGTTGAATGGTGTGACAAAACTGCTGCTTGAAGAGGGTCTCTTCAGCAAGGGACAACATGCGCATATAAATCTCACGTCTTCCTGTGGATGTCGAAGCGCTGGTAGATTAGGACAAATCCTACTGCATGATGGCTGTTTTCCAAGGTCTCTCTTACTGATGACGAGGAAGATGTCTTCGCGGTTTGGAAACATTAGGAATGAAATGTGTCCCAATATTCTAGAAAGGGATTACTTTCTGGCCTTTCAAGGGAGTACTGGTGTCTTAGTTTTAGGGAGCGTCCACTCTACGCCGGAGAGATTTGAAAACGCAGCTCTCTAGCTTTCTACGGTTAAGCCTACCGTCCACACTAATCCGTCACCAAAACGGAGCTTTCCGGAAATGCTCTTCAAACCGGAGGAATTTGGAAACGCCGGCTTTTCGTTTTCGTATCAACGGAAAACATTTTGAAAACGAAGCTTTTCTAAAAGATGGCGTCACGATAATCATGTGAGTTACCTGACGGAGTTTTTCTCAAACACAAATCCAAAATGACCGGTGATTGTTGCGTTTTTAAATTTCTCCGTTGTGTTGACGGAAAGCATTTGATGCGTTCGGTGTAAAACCTCCGCAGTTCAAATTCCTCCTGCGTAGTGTGGACGGAGCGTTAGCTTGACTTGTTTTTTTTTCAACTTGTTCTAGGAAGTGTCGCATTTTAGGCGTCACCCCCAACATGCTTTTCCAGTGCTGTGACGCGACAGCAGGGTCGTCAGGAGCTGGTGTTTATGAGCGCCACAGGATCAACGGCCGTCGAGATAAAGTTGAGCGTTACGTGGTGGGCGTGTTTTCCGGAAATCGCGACCGAGTTTTTAACTCGTACAAGGAGCCTGAGACGATCAAGACCTGTAATGGCCGCCTCCCGTATATACTTGGGTACCTTCATTACATGAGATATTATCGATATCAAGTAAATTACAACTCTGCTCTACGATTTAATGAGAACGACGTGTTCCATATTTGCACGTGGATGCGCAAGTTAGGAGGAGCTAACTGCAAGAAGTTCCTTAAGGAAAGGCGGCGAAGACGAAGGCGACAGTTGAGAAAACGTCATGGAAGAAGCCGAGTCGTGCACTGCGATCGCATGGAGTAGAATCGTTACTGTAACGAAAAGTCTTGCTTGTGTAGTAGGTGAACTTGATATAAGTTACACTTATCTACAGCACGTATACTGTAAGTAGTGTTATTTACTATTGACTATTCTATATAAGAGCCTTTAAGAAAACCACAGCGGCGACGGCAGCGGGAACATCGCTAAACAAAAGGAGAGCGGTACAATGGCTATACACGTGCCTTATAATTCTTAGTGCCGTGTACATGACATGAAAAATAGTATCTGCTTATTTGAAAGGCCTTCCAAAATACAGAAGAACCCCGTTTTTCTTTTTGAAATATCTTCTTTCGCTTTAGAGTTATTGACGTTTTTCTATTATGCAAATTAGAGCAGCGATGACGCCATACTGTTTGCAACTGAAAAATGGTAAAATACTGAATAAACAATATCTCTAGAAATATTGAAGCAGTGTTCTTGAAACTTGGCACCACAAATTTGCATCACAGAAGATACAAAATAACACTCTTAGTGCTGTTGCCATGGCAACTCTTTCGGCTTTAGTCTCTTTCTGTCAAAAAACCAAATATCCCCATTTGCAACCTCTTAAGTGAGACAAAGGGTCCTGCTTGGAACATACATAGTTCCTATATTGTCTTAACTCCCATCATTAGAGTGGGTGGAGTAGATGGTTCTTGGTTTAAGACAAAAACTGGAAATTTCAGTTTTTATTAAGACAGCACCAGCGGCAAAATTGTTGTCATGGCAACAGCTTTAAGGGTGTCATTTTTTTATTTTGTGATGCACAGTTGTGATGCCAAGTTTCAAGAACACTGCTTCAATGTTTCCAGAGATATCGTTTATTCAGTATTTTACCACTTTTTAATTGCAAACAATATGACGTCATCACTGATCTAATTTGTATTATAGAAAAACGTCAATATCTCTGAAAGGAAAAAAGATATTTCAAAACGGGAAGGCCATTGTTCTGTATTTTAAAAGGTCTGTCAAATAAGCAGAAATTATTTTTCATGTCATATACACTTAAACCGTTCTCTGTGAAACAACAGCGTGGAATGACAAAATTGTGCATTGTTTAACACAGTCAATCACGACGGCTAATTTTTTAAATTTTGATTTCAAAGTTAACGGCTACAGGTTTCACATTCAGTTGCGAGATAGAGTATATCGTGAGATTCGCAGGTAAAACATAAATTCACTTTTTGATCGACGTTTTCCCTGGCGTTGTCGATGTGGTTACTTCCTTAAATTCCCTCATGGCGTTGATGAAGAGTTTTTGTTTCTTTTGGAGATATTTTTGTCGTTCAGAAAATGAAGCAAGAACTAGGTTGAGACAAGTGAACTTTTTGATCTTGAAACGAAGCACAAAGAAAAAATATTTTTAGCCCCAATATACTCATTATTAAACCGCTCAGTTCTCATTACCGTACCCAACTTCGCAAATGAGCCAGTTAGAAGCCATGTCTTCTGTCCTGATATCCTGCGATATCACGTCACGGACCTGATATGGCTACTATATCATGGTCCGCTTGGGCCAAATTTGTTTACGGTAAATATCTAATCGTACCTTTTTGCTACGCTTCGGCGGCATATCAGGTTCGTTTGGCCTCGCCATGGGGATTTTTACTGGACTACGTCTCGTCAAAATACGAACCATGGCTCGACCAAACTTGCCTGATCCAAAGCGTACCAAAAAACTAAGATTAGGTATAAATATGAATGCTAAGAAAGCAAAGATCATGTACCAAGTTCAACCGGGTGGGAATTAAACCACAAAGCTTTTCCTGTTTAGTGTAATTTAAAAGTAATATAAAAATACCCGCATAATATTAAATCTATAACTGTTAACAGTATGATATATTTTAAGTAAAATTTAGAAAAAGTTTTCAGTAGCGTTTGTGAGCAGGACGGAGACATTAAATAAAAAGAAGATTCTTTCGTGCAATTTTACCCAAACTGACAAAGGTTACATTTTGTAAAAGCCAGATTTTATATTCTTTTTTAGTCATTTATTCAATTTGTTGCATCGAAACGTACAGGCTCAATAAATTTCTAACAATATTGAGATGTTAAATAGTCGTTTTATTGTCTTGAGATTGATCTGTGTTGCTCTGAACATTTCCTGTCAGGGAAACAAAGATGCGCGCGCATACAAAACTGTCGCTGCCCTCAATGTATAATTGTCTCGCCCCGAACATGCCCAAAAAACTCTTTATCTACAAGATTTATCGCCTCCTCTCTAACAAAATTCATTGTAACAGAAACCTGAAACGAATTTGACGGCAGTTCGAGCGCTGTGAACGAGCTGCTGACCAAAAGGCATCACACACTGGAGAAGAGAAACAAGAACCTGGTTCACAACAAAATATGTTAAACATGTTTAAAAGTGGTTTAACTAAACAAGACTAACAATTAGCTGCCCATACCGTACACACCCCTTAACTTAACAAGGTAAAAACCTGTTTGATTAAAATTTGTTAGCAAGGTGGTTTGAGTCTTCTCAATATGACTGCGAAGTATAATCGACAAATAGTTACACCTGATTAAAATTGTCCCATTCACACCAACTAAACTAGTTTGACTAAACCAAGTTTAGATTTTTCCAATTTGTGGATTACGCTTTGCAGTCATTTTGAGAAGACAAACTTTAAACCACCTTGCTAACACATTTTAATCAAACAGGTTTTTATCTTGTTACGTTGTAGGGTGAGGATGGTATGAACAGCCAAGTTTAAACCTAGTTTAGTCACACCACTTTTAAACATGTTTAACATGTTGGTGTGAACAATGCAAATTAGCTAAGTAGTTAAGTTGGTGTGAGTTGACGTCCGAAAGAAATTCGTACAGTTACTTTGAGAATTGGCACGAGCAGCTTCATTTTATGTCTTTGTCAGCTGGAATTCTAACCCCGTCGTTTACAAAACAAAGATTTCGTCATCCACCACAGGAAGTAAGGTTATCTTTGTTATATAAACAGAACTCCAACTGATTAGAGCCAGCAGTGAAAAAACAACAAAATATATAGCACGCTGTAGGCAAACTGTTTGCCTCCAACTGAGCTCTCAATTTGGAACACACAAGAATTGTCCGCCAAGATCAACAATTTTAACTCCAGCCAGTAAACTTAGAATTCTTGAAATTTGTGTTGCATTCCTGTGATCCGAATGCTTATAACGCTGGGCGAGCAGAGCCGAGCTGTGCTGTAACACTGCTGTCAAGTCAAAAACTACTTACACAAGGAGAGGCGGGGGGGGGGGGGGGGGGGGGGTTCCTCCCTTATATGGGCTATACAGGTGTGTTAGGGTTTTCAACCGTTTTGGTAACAAATAGGGTACGGTTTTTGCACTTCGTCTTGAACTGCGTATAATTTTTAGAAGAAGCTTCTTTTTCAGGGCATGAATATGGTAGGGAAAATCGCAGATTTTGGTCATAAATAGGGTTAGGGTTTTGGGAAGCGGGTCGCGCAACCCCACCTAATTTTTCTGGGAGTACTCCCCCCCCCCCCCCCCCNGGGTTTTGGGAAGTGGGCCGCATAACCCCACCCAATTTTTGAGGGTGTACCCCCGTGGGACATCATGGCATAAGCAAAAGCATGAGCGAAAGACTTTCAGCCAATCAGCGAAACCGAACTTAATGAAGCTCTTCCCCAATCCCCACCTCCCTGGGCATTATAACCCACCGCGTAAGAATTTTCCTCACTCTCTACATCAGTATTGCTTGGTTTGCTCTCTTCTGCAGCGCGTTTTAACTACTCGGTCAGTAGGCATCGGATCACGGAGAAAGTTTGGAATATCCCTAAAATTTTCAACAATGATATTACAGGAACTATTTGTGACAGTTCTTTTCCTCGACCTCGCATCGAAATAGCCGACTCATGATCAGTGCGTATAACCTTGTTGTTGAAAGTAGTTTGACCACGGTTTGCAATATGTTAGGTCAAAACCCCGAGAAAAAATACCTTTTAACAATAGTAGAAATCTTGGGATCACGCGATGGATCACGTTCTTCTGGTGCCAGCCACGTTACCAAGCAACGCTCCCTAGCAAAGTCGCGGGGAAAGAACAGCAGAATTTTTAGTTCTCAGTCTGTGCTGTGCATCGTTTTAAAATTTTTATTAATATATTACCAATCTTTTACAGATAAAAAATTCTTTTTAAAACATCCCCAGCATTTGTTTGTCAAACTTCACTCCATAAAACAATAATAGATATTAATATATTATCTACATAAAATTTTAAGCTCTTCGTTTTAAGATCGTCTAGATTCAGAAGGATGTTTTCTCTTCAGAATGCTGTCTGATATTTTTTTGGAACTAGGGTGGGAAGGATTTACAGTTAAAATATTTACTCTGCACTCAGTTCTTTAAGAACTTGTTAAATCTTGAACTTTTTCTATCAAATTTCATCCAAATGTTCCATGCAGGATTAAATTAACAATCCAAAATAAGTATAATCTTGAAGTTTTTCTTTTCACTTAAATGAGAGAAAATAATGTTTGTTTACTTCGTTTTAAAAGCATTAAGTGCAAACAAAGGGACTGAATTAAATTAAAATTTTACCGAGTCCAGGATTTGTGTTAATTTGACACTGAATTAATGCAGTCTGAGCAAATAAATAGGCCAGTTAGGAGTTACCTTGTACCTCTCTGTTTCACAATGGTTTCGCCTAAAGACTCGTCTTGACAAAGAGGCAAAAGGCAACTCGGAAGTGGCCTATTTACCTCCCCGTCTTAATTCATTCCAAGTCGCGCGAAGAGAAAGTTCCGTTAACTCAAACTGAATAACCGGAGTCTGGACCCTATTTGCGCTTGCCGCGTTTGAGGCTAAAGAAACGACTGCTGAATGGTGAACTGTAGTAACCTTGAGACAGTGACGTCGAGTTCATAAGAGTACTCCTGGAGTCCAGGCTACTCACTTCATCGTCAGTAATGATGTCATACTCGTCCGCACCACGGCAGGATAAGGGCAGATTTTCGGAAATACTCAACTGAGACATTGTTCGCCGCACTATAGCGTCCGTGAAATACTTGCACTCTAAAAAGTTCCTCATCTCCAGCTGATTCACGATGCTTTCGCGCCATTTTCTACTGGGAACCCTGGCGCGTTTTCCCGCGCGATTGCTCATCCTGGACCTTGCACATCCGGGAGAGTAAGATCCTTCGCTTTCCGTGAGCTTCTCTTCTGTCATGGTTCTCTGTCGTTTCAGGTAAGTTGACGCTAAATGCGCGATGCTGTCTGACCTCACACAAACATCTTCTTCCCTTTCGTTATGGGATGTCTTTTGATTCCTAATAGCTAGAACCAGTTCAGATCTATCAAGAGGGTCAACCTCCATATTTATCAAGGCGTTCTTACTCGCAGCCTCCGCGTGGGGTCGGAATTCAGCGTACTTATTCAAATAATCCGCGAGTTCTTTATTGATTTTAACTCTAGCGCGGCATCTTTGCGTGTCGGATTGCAGCTCTAAAAACGGTTTGGTTTGCGCGTCGTTCCGTTGTTGTAGCTGCCAGACAATGTTTTCCCTCCACCAGCAACTTCCACCATTACTTGGCACCCGTTGTAAAGCAACAGGTCTTGGTGGTGTACATGTGCCTCCGCTGTCCTCTACCTCCTCCAGTACTTTGCACGAACAGTGTGAATCGAACTTGTTTTGGATGTCAACGCCGCTACGCGACTCCGCAGCTGGCGACTCCACGCTGGTGTCAAAGCCATTAGTTTCTTTTTCTTGAATTGGAGTGCTATGATCTAACCCTCCAGCCAAGAACTCCTCTTTAGACGAAGGAATGATAATATATTCATCAAAATTTGTCAGTTTTACCGGAGGAACATAGCTCGTTTCTAGCATAGGTGTTGAACACGCGCTCAAGTCGACAGTGATGATGTCATAATCCGCGGCGAAGTCGTTCATGGGTTTTCTCGTTTGTGCTTCACTGAGACATTTTGGGCATCGACACCGGTCAACCTCGTCGTCTCCAAAGTAACCAGAATTGACCAGTTCTTCGCTGTATAGCCCACTCTCTGAGCTGCTTCCATACGTGTGACTGCCTCTGTGTGAGTTTTGCGACGAACGGGATGAATTGCGCGACCTTCTTCGTTTTGATCGTGAGCTGCTTCGTGATGCTGTTGAACTGGTCGAGTCCCCCCAGCTTGAATCGATGTTCTTTAGCACGTGGAGGTACGAATTCACCACGTACATTACAGCTGCCTAAAAAAGAGAAACAGAAAAATAAATCTCTGAGTTTCTCTAAAGCTTGTGTAACTGGGAGTGTGTATGAGAGAGCGAATGGGTGGGGAGGTACATTGGGGAGGTACGATGGTGAATTTAGACGGGAGTATACTGCCCGCCTCTCGACACTGTGACACCGTTTCAGACCAAAATACGTTATTTCCACCCCCCTTTTTACACCTGACATCGGCTGGTGGCATTAACGATAATCACACACTTTTATTAAATAATACTCATTCTTTTTCTTGTCAATTCTCTTACAAGATGAAAAGTCAGACCTAAAAATAAAAAAAATGCTCTCTTATTAAAAAAAAAACACACCTAATTTACAATGATACAAAACGAAATCTGCAACAACGCAATAAACGCTATTTACTCTTCACCCAGGCCATTTCATATTTTTCCATTTCTATTTTGCTTACTATACGTTCTCATGCGTCCAGTTTGGGCAATTCTTGTAAGAGGGGTTAAAAAGGCAGTATTTTAGTTTACTGATAAGTTTAAACTGTAGCAAGTTGCACCCACTACCCCTTCCCCTGCAAGCTCTGTCCACCAACTGGTAGTGGTTGCTAACACCTCCAAACTTCTGACGGCATTTAATTATCACACACTGCACTGTTCATCTGAAAGAGCATACCCCTTCTTTTGAAGCTTACAGTTTGATACTGGAAGTGCTTTATATTTTTTTATTTAAAGAAATGGGGTACATTAATTTTACTACTGTGAATAAAAACTTGTTGCTCCTAATTAGTGGTGTCGCTTAATTCAAAAGTTTAGTTGTGTAAAACCATGTTTCTGGTTTGAATCTAGATGAGAAGATAAGTAATGTCAGATCCAAAAGTGCATCCCTGATCATCTCTTACAAAGCTCTCAAGAGAGAAAATTCCCAGGGATTTCTTTTTGTCAGATGCATGGAATGGGATGTGGGAAAAACATCCCTACCTAAGGTGAATAGCACCAAATATGGCCTAAAGTGTTTTAGCTATTACGCTGCAAAATACTGGAACACACAATCTGACAATATACGCACATTAGCTGGAACCAAGGATTTTGTTAGCAAGGTTCGAAGTTTAACATTTTATATATTTATTTTACTGTATCATAGTATATTAATGAAATTTTCAATTTTTATTGTATGAATATGTTATAGCTTTTAATATCATAATTATACGATAGTTAGTTATGTTGATTTTAGTAGTGGGATATCTGTAAGCTAGCTGTATGGCTAAGCATATTGCCACTTTCTATCCTATCCTGTCACTACTATGAGAAGTATTTTGCACATGTCTCCCCCCATCACTCCTGTGAGAATTACTTTGTTCATGTCTGGAAAGAACACTACCCCGTAAAATCCTTGATATAAACCTGCTTTCGGTTTGTAAAAAGAGAAGCTAATTGTATGTGACATCAAAGGAAAGATGCAAAGCTTCAACAAATCTATCAAAACATTTCCTTTGTTAAAACTGACCCGCCAGACAGAGCAATAACAAAAACAGTATGAAAATGGATTTTTAAGACTATTTGCTTTCTCAAATGCTACCATTAAAATTCAACACAATCTCCGCTAAACCTGACAACGCATTTTAACTGTGCAAACAGGAAAAAACTCCGCAATTTGTTTGGTAAAACATGATAGAATTGTCAAACTGTTTCCCCATGGGATTAAGGACTGAGTGTCAACGATTGCTTCATAAGACATAATACTTGGACGTCTTCCTACAACAAAATCAAAGATACACGTAGTAACGCATGGAACAAGGTAAAGCTATCAAAATTGAATTACGATAGTCTCAGTTGTTCGTAAACAAGTCGTTCAATACAAATAACAGCAGCTTTCTTCACAGCCGAGCCAAAACGTTATCACACTACAAAAAAAGTTGGGAATTCAAGGAAGATGAATATGATATTTTGCTCCGAATCGATTCAAACCCGGAAATCTTAAGAAACGCAAGTATTCCACTCGCCCAGAAGCAATGACAAACGTGTAATGTTGCATAAATGATAAAATCGTCTTGCTAAAAGCGCCATGGATGTACATATGAGTATGTAAAACCTAGGGAAGATAAAGCTGAACTGATCCCCTGAGGGAATTACCTGTACAAGCAATGTAGCATCGCGAATCCGTATTTACAGATTCTACCGCAACGAGACGTGTATTTCTTGGTGGTACCACAGTTGAGCGGAAGAAAAATCAAAGCGATCTGACGTATAAACTATTTGCCACGGCGAAACTCGTTACAAGCGCTTGCACTCGGCTTAAAATGACTCTAATCAAACGTGATCGTACCAATGCTCGGCATGAATTTTTAAGACTGCTAATGAACAATAATCAAAATCAGAAATAATTTACCTTTGATCTTGACTTAAAGAACGAAATCATATTCCGAGGAAATATCTAGATGACGGCAACAAAGTATGGTCATTTAGTTAACGTAAAGTTAACATAGATGTTGCGAGTTTTGCTCAAGGCCACTCGATCGATATTTTTGGTGATCTGATCAGTCTTTGCCTTAACTCGTACCGGCCAGCACATTCCTTGTGTTTTGATTTCATATATTTATTACCTTTAACAGTAAACTGATCCTATTTACGGGCTATTACAACAAAAACAATCTTTCTAAAATGCGGATGAAGCAAAATATATTCATCTATGCGGCGCTCAATTTAGTATAGTTATGTGTGATTCTTTATCCGGCCGGTCCCGCTACAACAACTCTTTTCGACATGCCGCGGCTAGTGATCAACGGGTTGTGATGACCATAACCCAGCTTAACCCTTATCAACTTAACTGTTGAACGCGTACGAAAGCAAAAGAATCTTGGTAATCGATTTGATCGGCAAATGTACTAGAGTAAAAGACCATCGTATACTACAAAAGCAAACAAAGGTTTTTACTCACTGCTCATTCACTGTCGAGTAAACTTGAAGGCTGGATCCTTATGTTTGGCATTCCTTGATGCGTGGGGATTGTTTGACTCATATCAGGAAGAGTTAACGACCCTGAAGTTCTTGACAAACTCGTAACTCGTTCAGACATCTCTCAAACAAGCGACGGTCGATCACATTGTTTCAAAACACACAGTGCCTCGATCACGTGTTGTCACGTCACGCAATACGACCTTTGGAATCACATTCCCGCCAAGGTTTTCTCGCGATATTTTAAGAATTTCCGCCTTTAACAAAACTGTTGTTCAGAAAAAGAAGAGAGAAGAAAAAAGTACAGTCAGCTGATAAACATGCTAAAATGTTTTGTCATGACCGTCACGGGCTGTCTAAAAACTACGTTTGTTTACTCCCGGGGTGTTTAGTTTGCAAATCGCGTCACGTCTGACGGAAAAAAAGGAAAATAGGCACGCAAGGCATACTTATAGAGAAACGTTGTGAAAACTGTACTGCTTTGAGTCTCGCTTGAACAGAACTGAAAATGCGAAAATGTTAGAAAGGGTATTTTAATAAAACAGCCATTTTTTTTTTGTGAAACACCTTTTTGAAAAGCACACTGGAGTAAATCACCTCACTAATTTAGCCAGATGAAATTTTCATGTTGTTTTTGTTTCCCATTGCTGTCATATGAGTTTTTTTTTTCCAAGTACCCCTTCACTGTTTTCAAACCCTATGAGTGAGAAATACTCTGTGAATTTTAGGGTTGGAATGTACCATGTTTTAAGACTCCCCATTATCCTGGGGGTATTAAAGTCGGGTATCATAGCGTCAGGGAGGAGCAAAGATGGTCTTTGGGATGTGAGGACTTTTAGGGTTAGAAATTAAAAATTAAAAAAGTTTGGTCCTGATTTCTTTGGGGATTCTCTCACTTTTCTCAGTGAGACACTTCACACTTCTGTAACTGAGGCTGATACAATTTTGTATGAGCATCAGCTTCAATAATTTAGAAGACCTGCACAGATGCAAACTGCATGCAAATTGTAAAAAAGACTTTCTGTTTTGACTTATTTAATCAATTTCATGCACTAGAAAAATAACTTTTGTGGGGTTATGTTCTGGGCCATTAGGCCCTTTTTTGGGTCTAACAATTTGGTCTCATTTTCACCTCTCTGTCAGTATCACACCTATCTATAGACACCAAAGTTTGTTCCCAGGGGGCACTGCCATATATGGGCTATATAGGTATGTGCCACTGTGAAGGGTATGGTTTTCAAGCAGTTTACTCTAGGATAGGGTATATAAATCAGAGCGTTTGGGTCTAGAATAGGGTATAATTTTTCACAAAACTGACTGCTTGCATGAAGATTTTATCTAGACTAAGGAAACCAGGAATTGCCTCTCAAAAATATAAAAAATCAAATCGGCAGGTTTAAATTTACGCAAATCAGCCTCAACAGTGTCGATAGATGGGGGGATTTGGGGAGTTTACTCTAGTATAGGGTAGCAAAATTCAGCTGAAC